CCAGCTGCCTCTGGTCTTTTAGTTTCTTCAGCTGCCATTAACACAGAAATGGAAGCTCTGCCTCAAGTTTGAGTTTGGAAGTCTTATTATATGCAAGAACTTTTCTTCGGTAAAACTTTGACCTCACTGTTTTTGAAAAGGTTTAGTGCTTGGTTAAAATCAACAACTAGAAATATAAAATCCCCTGCTTTCGAGGGTTTCTGGCACAATTTCAAGCTTGCATTTTACGACAGAAAATAATTGAATTATAATAAGATGCATGCTAGTTGTTTGTAATGAAGATGAACAACATCTTTATTTAAATGGCTTCCTTTTGATGGCTGATGGCTATTTATATTGTTTATCTTTTGGCTTATGTTAGATCCATTACAATATGCCAATTCATTGCGGCGTCAAAGCCTATTACATGGGCAAGTCAGCCGGCAGAATGTGACCCTGCCGTTATATTGCTGGCTTTGTGGTTACATTAAAGTTTTAAAATATAATATTGAGTGGTTTTGTGATATCTAAGTTTGGCCATCAATGTGGGGCTAACGACTTTATTTTGGTAGTGAACTCACACACCTCACACACACTCATGACAAGAGTTCGACTTTCATGCTTCCTCTTCTTTAAATAATCATTGATTATTGATCATAATACATTTACCATACTGTTATGGGATTATCCTACATATATCATACTTCTACTTTAGTTTATAATCTTCTAAACACATTTTCTGACATTGATGATTTAAGGCCTACCCTTGAGTCCTTGAGTCCTTGGGCTAAGCCCCCTATATGAAAATTGAAGAAAGAAAGAAAGAAAGAAAGAAATGATTGGTGCTAGGAATAAGTGATTTTTGATCAAATGCAGTTAGAATGCTAGTTTGGAAACATAAAGACATATAAAATAGCAGTCCTTCAGGGTTTCAGTCCTTTGTTGGGAAGCAATCTCCAGACTTTCTTTTAAGGGCTTTTCACAAATACGCTCATTCTAACATGACATATTAACTAGTAGCAAAGTTAGAAGATGCACAAAATTAATGGGGGAAAATGTTGAAAAACTAATGCTGATTTATTCTACAAAGTTCAAGAAAAGTCAAGAGCTCACAATAAAAAAGTTGCATGGCGGCAAAGCAAAATGAAGATGGTAGAATATTCTAAAAAAAGTGACAAGTGAATGGCTAAAGTATGGTGGTGGAAGAAATCTCTAGAGCATGACTACAAACATGTGGTTAGGAGAAAGTGCCCAAATCGACGGACCAAGGCTAAGTCGGCAAACAATCATCTATAAATAGGCATGCAACCTACAACGAAAGGTGAAGTCAACAAAAAGAACTTCCAAACGACGTGGAGTCAACTAAAATGTCGCGCTTCGATCCAAAAATAAAGAATATTTCAGAATTAGGGTGCATGAATTAAAAGAAGTAAATAAAAAAAATTGAAAAATTGGTTAAAATACATTACCATTATATATATATATAAATTATAATAATCTTACTAGTGTACAAGATATAAATAAAAGTTTATCACTCTAAACTAATCCAACTTCTCTGGTTTCGGCTTTGTCTTACCCACTAATTGATCTGAAAAACAAAATAGGTGAGGGATGAGCAAACCACCGCTCAGTGAGTAGATTATGTAATATGCCAGTCAAGCAATGTCATTTTACACACTTTAGAAAAATATAATAAAAAGATACACAATCCAAATCATATCACATCATTACTTCATATCTTGGTTATCCTTCACAAATTGTACCCAGTACGTGACCTCTATCGGCCTCACTGCCTTATGTCCCCGTCCGGTACATTTATCCTTCGGATACCTCGTCACTGAAGTTCTCATGTTCCATGAATAATATATACTTCACAAAAACTTCAAATAATATATATTGTGTGAAATATTGCACAAATTAAATATGCTTGACTTGAAAATAGAGAGAGTTTTGTAAATAGATTAAACCCATGATTTTCACATTTATCACAAAATAAGAACTTTTAGAACACACTACATAACCCACTCACCATGATAAGTATGAAATATTGCAAGACGTTTACACACGCTCTTCATCTTGTTTCTTTTTCTTCCCTCTCTCTCTCTCTCTCTCTCTCTCTCTCTCAAACACTCCTTCATGGTAGAAATCTATCTTAAAGGATTGGAATGAATGATTGAAGTAAGGAAGCATATACTTATAGGAGAGGCTACGGATGCAACCAAATAATATTTTTATATACAATATTTTAAACCACCAAAAGATAAGATAGAAAAGTAAGGGAATAATGTGAGTCATCCACCTTTGGCCAATGATACCACAACACCACTTGTTACTAGCATGCAAGGTGGCATGACAATGATGATTCGATTAAAACCAATTCTAAGTCTCTACACGTGGAAAATAAAAATGGTGTCATCTTTTAACTAAAGGGATAATCTCATACTAAGCTTAAGATTTAATAACATATAAGTCTTCACAATAAATATTTAAATAAGAAAAATTCATATTAATAAATAATTAATATGTAGTATGAATAATTATATATATATATAATTTTTTTTTCCAGGTTCTCACATTAACCGTAAGAAACCAACATCACAATTTGAAACCAGTAGCACCACCAACAAATGCAAGATTCTCATCCTTTACTTCTTTTGAAAGTGATTGGAGAGTTTGTTTGTTTTATGAGAATGCCAATATTTTAACATACGTTTGATAGTGTAAAGTTGACATATGTTGGATCTTTGTTTTCTCTATTTTTTCGTAATTCAATCTTGGATTTGTTTTTGGTGCAGTCTACAATTCTCAAGGTTGGTATCATGTCAATGTTGTGTTGGTGCCATGAAAAGGGTTCTTGGAAAACTTGAAGGTTTGTTGACAGCTCTTGCATTTATCTAGTTCCATTGTCTTGCTCTTCTTCTTCTCTGAGACTGTGCTTCTTTAACTGTTTGACAAGCTAGGGCCAAATAGCCCAAATTAATCTAAATCAAGTGTGGTGACCAATAAGCCAATAAGCTAAGAAGGAGGCCAATTAGCCTACACCAAGCTATGTACTATTCTCCTCCAATGTAATAAAATTACTTTATTTTAACTATTGTCTATTGTCCTAAACCCTTTCATCACTTATAACCAACAAGTGGTATCAGAACAACATACATCACACCTCCTGAATTCCAACAAGTGGTATCAGAGCTAGTTCAATCGCTTTGGGCGTAAGGGCTGACTCAAGTCTCTATCAGAGCCATGTTCGATCAACTCTAGGCGCATGGGCTGATTCTAAGGAAGCAAGGTATGTGTTATCAACACTTAATTCAAGGTTTCAAGTAGGGGTGAGCACGGTCTGGTTCATGCCGATTTTCACCTCAAATTGGAACTGGAATCGGTACTATTTATCTGGTTCGGTTTGATCTAGTTTTAACAAAAAAAATCATAAAACTGTCTTATTTGAGTTGAATCGGTTTCGGTCCAGTTCGGTTTTGAACCGAATTTTTATTATTTCTTCAAATTAATTTTTTTATACAAATTTCAATTGATATTTTATTTTTTTGGTTTAAAAATTAACAAATTATTCAATTTCATACAAAAGAAATATTGGGGCTAGAAAATAGAGATGTTTGGAAATTGAGCTTGGGTAAATATTAGTTATGAGATTAAAAATATAGCATTGGATATAAATAAATATTAAAATTATATATTTTTTAATTTGGCCGGTTTGGTTTGGCCTGATTCGGTTTGTTGGGGTATAGAATCGGAATAGGAACCGGTCTGGTTCGGTTTTTTTGAATTGGTTTGACTTTTTGGTCAACATGGTTTTTTTCAATTTTTTCCAGCCCAGTTTGGTTCAGTTGATTGGTTCTTCGGTTCCGATTCCCACCCCTAGTTTCAAGAAATCTAGATAAGGGGATGGAGATCTAGAGAAAGTTCTAGAGGAGGAGATAGTGAAAATAAAAGAGATGGGCATGAGAGGAAAAACTTTCCTTCATGTGGGGTGTGCAAAAAAATAAGGCACCCAGAAAAAAAAAAAACAAAAAACCCGAATGTTGAAGCTTAAAAAAAAAAAAAAAAGGGCTTTGAGAAAAAAAAAAATATTGTCAACAAAAAACTATCAAGCTAACTACGAACAAAGAAAGTGCCACAAGAGCATGAAGAAAGTGCTGCAACATCAACTAGATGTTCATTAATGCTAGCTTCATGAGGTGCATGCTCGGAGAAACACAAATGCGCATTAAGGAAGAGTGTTGAAAAACTAATGCTCATTTGTTATACAAAGTTCTAGAAAAATTCGAGCTCACAATAAAGAAGTTGCATGGCGGCAAAGCAAAATGAATATGGTAGAATATTCTAGAAAAAGTGACAAGTGATTGGCTAAAGTATGATGGTGGAAGAAATCTCTAGAGCATACAAACATGTGGTTGGGAGAAAGTGCCCAAGTCAGTGGACCAAGGCTAAGTTGGCAAACAATCATCTATAAATAGGCATGCAACCTACAATGAAAGGTCATCTATAAATAGGCATGCAACCTACAATGAAAGGTGAAGTCAACAAAAAGAACTCCCAAACGATGTGGAGTTAACTAATAGAACTCCCAATCTATGTGGGAGCAAAGAAGCTACCCAAATCTATCTAGCTAATCAACTAAAGGCGGTGGGAGTTAACCACTAAAACTCAGGGAACTACAGGTGAGCTACCCAACCTATGAAAGATGCTTGAAGACAAAAGCTCAAGCTAATTAAGTGTGGTGACCAATAAGTCAATAAGCTAAGAAGGAGGCCAATTAGCCTACACCAAGCTATGTACTATTCTCCTCCAATGTAATAAAATTACTTCATTTCAACTATTGTCTATTATCCTAAACCCCTTAATCACTTAAAACCAACAAGTGGTATCAAAGCAACACACATTACACCTCCTAAATTCCAACAGAAAAGAAGTAATGTGAATAATTTCCTGCAATGGGAAATTATATAATGACAGTTTGTCAAACCTGTGACATTTCATAGCATTTATTTAAAAAAGCAAAGTTGAACTCCAATCTAGAGTTGTTTATTTCCATGCTATTATTGCCACCAAAAGAAGACATAGCTGCATTTCCCTCTGCTTCAACCACATATTTGCTTAAATATCAAATACATGCTCTCTAGTCACAGAGAGAAAAGTCAAATATTGAATATAAAAACACTTGCCAATTTGCCACCAGTTTAACCAAAATGAAGCAAACATCTTCAGAGGGGAACTTCCATTCATTTCCAAGAGTCCTTGCTTCTTGAGAAGAACACACCCCATCTCAACTCTTAACCAAAATGGATGCTTAACAGATCTCAACTTTTATTTTGGGATGCCAAGCTAATCAAGCAACCAAGACTCCTGAGGATGGTTCAAGTACAGTTCCCAAATTGCCCACAGTTGTTTCATCTGTCATCAAAATCCATAATGTCCTTAATTAGTATAACATAATCACAAGCTTAATGTTGGTTCCTCTTAATTAGTACCTTATAAATTTAGGGTAAATACTTACTCATGGGAATTTTGTCAACAAAAAAGCAAGCAGCAATAATAATGTAGCACAGGAAAAGAATGACCCCTTTCAGATAATGTGATGTTCCATCCTGGACAATAACAGAAGAGGGTATTTTTCTCAGCTAAAAAAGAAGAACAAAAAGTGAAAACAAAGGGGGTGGATTAGGAGAAAACCTGCAATGTGAAGGCTGTGATAATTATAGTGAAAGCAAGAGAACCAGTTTCAAGGAGATTGAAATCAAGATCCATTTGGACACCCATTATCCAGGCAACAATCACACTTAAAGGGACCTGAAAAAAAGAAGATAGGCAATTGGGTTTTCTTATAAGAGAATTTGAAGCAAATATTTTCTCTGTTATGTGACTTGGTATACTTTAAATCTTACCACAAACATAGAAATTTGAGATGCAGAACCTAAAGCAACACCCAAAGATATGTCCTGCATAAAAATCAGAGATAGGGCAATCAGATTTCAGACCAATGTAATATCTAAAAGGGAAATTAGAGTGATTTTTGTTGCTGTAACATACCAACTTGTTCTTGAGAGCAAAGATGATTGATCCAGCATGTTCTGCAGCATTCCCCACAATAGGTAGCAAAATAATGCTGATGAAGGTCACAGAAATGCCCCAAGAATTTGATGCAGCCTAATTGAGGCCAAATGTATATAATTAGGTACTAATTGATGCAATAATTTATGCTTCAAAAGTCACCATCAAGGAATTTTAACCAAAAACTAGTATAATGATCAGGCCTATCTAATATATACCTCAATTGTTCCCACAACATACTCAGACAACAGAGCTATGATAATTGTCATACCAACCAGCCAACTGAATGCACTCCAAAATCCTATCACAGGTTTTTCTTCTTCTTCATCTTCATCTCCCTGTTCATTGGCATTGAAACAAGCTAATCACTAGCCAATATTACAAATTGTGACTTTTATATTATTTATAAAACTAGTTTTATGTCCCAAAAAGATTGGTCTATGGACTGGTGACTTGTTCCAAAGGGAACTCATATATATTGCATATATCCTAGTATGTGAAAGCTATGGAAACAGAGGAAATACATGGAATATGCTTTCATAATCTTTTCTTAATTTTAATTCTAATTTTCTCATATGGGTTAGGACCATAATATTGTGGAAGTCACATTATGCAAGTGAGGATGATTGATAATTTTTGGAGTGAAATGATCATATACGGAGAATAGTTTGCTCATCACCATTAAATGGTCGTGTCGTTGAATGAGTTTGATTTAGCCTATGAGCAATGCTAGGCATACCACATTTGCATACCACCTCTATAGAGCCCACCAATACAAAGGGGTCTACCTCTATTAAAAAGGTGATACACAATGTGATATATAAATGTAGCATGACTAGCATTCACCGCACGGTTTCCAAAAATCAAATTCATATAATAACAAATAATGTGGTGGTGAGCAAATTAATTTATTCTCTTCATACACCCTCGCTCTTACATTTACCTAACACCATTCACATGGCAAGATGATTGTGAGAGGAAAGCGTACGCCTTGTCCACACTGAAGAGTTTTTTTGTTTTGTTTAAGGAATGGATATTAATAATGCTGGATTTTATTGTTAACGCATATAAACTTAATTTGTTTTTTACATTATGGATTAAACATGCTACGAAGATCACTACTACCTCTTGTGATTCAAAAAACTGGCGGTGGGTTTTCAACTGGAAGAAGATATAGGCAACATATGCTATAAGCATAAAAATGCTGCTTATTCTAGACAACTGGAGAGTGTTGGTGGCAAAGGGATTGTTCAGCCCCGACGCATATCTGAACAACAGTGGCAGCATGTGGCAAAGCAACCCCAGCAGCAGCAGGAGTGAATTCACATCAGCCTGTTTCTGTTTCAATTCAAGCCGCACAAAATTTAATTACAGCAAATTAATAAATAAATTAAATAAATTATATTTTGCTTACTCTATCATATCTTTGTTCTTTTTTCAGGTTGGCCAAACCCCCGCAGAGGAGAGAGGTCCCAAGCACAAGGAGGAGGTTGGAGAGAATGGAACCCAGCAGAGAGTACTTCACAACGTCGATTTTGTTTTGGCGAAGAGCAAATAATGCTATTATCATCTCTGTTGCATTGCCACATGTTGCATTAAGAAGGCCTCCAACTGTAAATTTAAATCAAAATCATCATTATTCACAAAAATATTGTCATTATAAATAATTAAACATTCTAATTAATTTATAATTAACTGAGATTGTTACCTGTTGGACCAGTGAAGTAAGCAATTTGTCTGAGTTTTTTTTTTTGGTACATACAAAATAGGAAATAACAATGTTAGAAAAAGTTTGTACATCTATATATATATATATATATATATATGGTAAATAATAATTAATTAGAAAAAAAACTTACTCAGTGAGGAAGCTGACACGTTCAGCAAGCGGGGTGAGTCCAAGCAAGCTCAAAGCGAAAATCCAAGGCTACATTTTGCACAAGAACAATCAAATTAAGGAAAATGATCATTAATTTACAGAAATAAATAAATAAATAATAAGAAAAATAAGGGAATATCAAAATAGTTAGCTTGAGACGTACTCTTCCAAAGTGATAAAAATCAGCCACGATTGCAAGGGGAATGGCAGGAAAGAGCAGAGCAAGCTTGGTGCCAAGAACCACCTCTTGCAAATTGTTGAGCAAACTTCTGAGCATTTGGAAGCGAACATTGGAAACAAGTATCGGGTCGGATTTCTTGCGGACCATGGAGGCTGCCATGTTTTGTGGTGGTGTTCTTGATCCATTAATATTATTAGCCCACTGCTCCTTGTGATTATTGTCTAATAATCCCTTGTAATTATCACTAATGATCCCATTCTCTATGTTGTTCTGTGATTCTTCCATGGTAGCTAGAGACTCTCTCTTTCAGTTTCTTGACTAACTATCTCTCTCTCTCTGTGAAGAAAAAATGGGTCGTGGATATAAATAATATAAGTAGGCATGGCAACTTCCTGGAATTTTCTCACGTTTGTTTCTATACTCTTGCATGGATACCACGTACTCAATCAGCAGGTGGAGTTACAAGCGGCGTAGCCGGATGGCAACAAAAAACGTGCACATATTCATCCACAATTGGTTGGCAAAAATGAAAATGTGGATGAATATGTGCATCGGAAAAGGATTTTTTTTATTTTTTTATTTTTGGGGTAAAATAAGGGGCAAAGCCCAATCAAAAGAGAAAAAGGCTTTTAACTTGCAGATAAGAAGTCTCATGTTCGAATTCCCATGACATTATTTGTGTGTGTGTGTAAGAAATTCCCCTCCCCTCTAGTTTAGACTTTTGTACTAAAAAAAATTATAATTATAATTTTATAATTTTTTTTAAAACCTGAAAAATAAAATAAAATGAGATTTGACACCGTTAAATTTTGTATTACAACTGGATTTTTTTAGGTGAGACCCAAGGGTATCCACCGCCGACAAAAGTGACTAATCCCTTTCGCCGCAGGAGCTCTCCCAATGGAGGTAAACGGCTGGCCACGAAATGCGCTCCATTCCCATGGGCGGGGATCGAACCCCCAACCTCATGGTTAAGGAATGAGGTGAGCTACCACCACACCACATCTCATGGTTATTACAACAGGATTTTCGCATAGTCCTTTGGGTTGCATACACGTGAACGCAACTCAAAAGAAATTTAGGAGAGGCCCAAAACGCGGACAAAAGTATCAGTTACAAAAGTATAACTATATATGAAGGTCCCAAAAATAAAATAAAATAAAATAAAAACTGTATATGAGGGTACTTGTACAACTTAAGTAGTTAAAAGTAATTACTGGAGAATTTTACTCCCTATCCTAATATTGCTTGTATACTCAATAAGCAGGCACAAATTACATATGGAAAGAGTAAACATAGGATCAATGCAGTTATTTTATTAGATGAAGGTGTATGTTTGGACTTCCTAATGTAAGTGGATGATTGCTAAAATGTTTTGGAGGTCTTAGGCGAACTTTCTAAATGGGATCTTCTACTCTATATGTATATCTATGTGATTTTTTTCGGTAAGTTAAAAAAATATTATATGAACTCAAATTCACAACTGTAACAAAAAAAAAAAACAATCAATATGTAATTTACGCAACAACTTTATAAAATGCATCAAGTGATTCAACTACTATGTCATTTTCAATTTCCTAATTGATTCAACTAGGTTAATTGATTTTTTTTTTTTAAAGTACAAGTGATAGTTTGAACTAGAGGGGAGGTGAGTTTCTCTCATATACACACAACAAAGATGTTGTGGGGGTTCGAACCTGAGACCTCTTGTCTGTAGGTCAAGGCCCTTTTCCACTGGGCTAAACCCCATTGGTTAATTGATTTAAATTATAAATTTTAAAAAATAATTGGGTCTTTATTGAGTTTCCTCTTTTCTAATTTTGAATTGAGTATTATTAGACTTTAATTATGAAGAAAATTATATTTGTGTATATATTTCATTGGAGCTGATTTGTATCAAAAGTGATAAATAGCAGCAGATTGATGTGGAAACATGCATGAATTTTATCAACACTTGGAGAGCACTGCATGCAAAGCTCTCTATCCTTTACCCGCCACACTTGCCAGTGGCAGTGACTCGATGACAAAATATATTCGTTTAATAATATTATGTCCAATTGTCTCTTTTGGGTTTTGCATCGCCACTCAGTTTGTGTCATTGGTTAAGCTAGCTGCTGGCTTCTACCTGCATCTTTCAGTATGCTTCAATGGAAGCAAGCAAGCAAGCAATATGTACATATGTGAGAGAAACGTGTACATATGTGAGAGAAGAGGTGATGTACCCACAGAGTCAGAACTTTCGTGGAATTTTCAAACCTTTTCCTCGAAAGGAATCAAACGGTTGGCATTTCTTTTACACTTTGATCAAACCAAAAAGAAAGAAAAGAAGAAAAAACCCATAAACTGATTGGTCAGATATTCTTGGCCAAAAGAAAATACTGGACGAAGTTTCCTCAAAGACATACTCTCTCGTTTTTACACTCCAAAATGGAACTGTATTGGCTAACCCATGCAAAATCAAATTAGTACTCATATTATGAAAGCCAACCCTAATGGGTCACTTTTGTACGTATTTTAGTGGTGCCATGCCATGCATATTACGACACAATTGATCATAAACTACAAACCTGTCGCTATATACGCATTATTTATCTCAATTTATGTCATTATTTTGTATGTTTTTTAATAAAATTAATGGAGATGTGGGAACATCCTCCAACATTAGGACATATTCTACAAACTTCATTTGGCTCAGTAGTAGCAAGATGAGCACGAAGCAAGTTCTAAACTCGAAACTCCTAACTTTAATGTCTTACAAAAACAAAATACTTGAATTTACTTAATACGTGTGCATTCACAAATTTCATCAAATAAGTGGTGGATAATTCAATTGATCATAAACTACAAACCTGTCGCTATATACGCATTATTTATCTCATTTATGTCATTATTTTTTATGTTTTTTAATAAAATTAATGGAGATGTGGGAACATCCTCCAACATTAGGACATATTCTACAAACTTCATTTGGCTCTTTTTTTTTTTTGGTCAAGAACTTCATTTGTAAACATAAAAATTCACAAATGTTAGGGTCAAGTTTTAAGAATCTCCAACTTTCGCATTAGAAGCTTCAAGAAACAAAGGCAAAGAGGAAGACAAGCGCGCGAACAGAGGACCCAAAACGCAGAGCATAAGCAAACCCTAGCGACCCGAATGGCCGAGAAATTGGCTCCAGAGAAGCGCCACAGCTTCGTTCACAATGGTAAATCTCTTTCCTTTCACGGCTTTTGCATTTTATTTTGGTTTTCAGTGACTGAAATTTGTGTGCGGATTCAAATTATTAGGTCAGAAGGTGTTTGAATGGGACCAAACCCTAGAGGAGGTGAACATGTACATAAATCTGCCCCCAAATGTTCCTTCAAAGCAATTTTTTTGCAAAATCCAGTCGAAGCACGTCGAAGTCGGCATCAAAGGCAATCCTCCCTACCTCAATGTAAGTAATTCAGTTCCATTTGATTTATTTCCTCGAAAAATGAAGTTTTTGATAGGTGGTTTAAACGGTGCGTTTCGTATGCGGATTGTACAGCATGATCTTACTAGCCCAGTGAAGACAGACTGTTCTTTCTGGACACTAGGTAATTAGTGTTAGTTTTCTTTTTTCCCTTATATTCTCTGTTTTTTTTTTTTATTTCTTCATAAATTTGAATTATGCTGATTTTTATTTAAAATAAATATTTTGGTAGAGGATGATATAATGCACATTACACTGCAAAAGAGGGACAAAGGGCAGACATGGGCTTCACCTATAGTGGGGGAGGGTCAGCTAGATCCTTACTCCACTGACCTTGAGCAGAAACGCCTCATGCTTCAGAGATTTCAAGAAGAGGTCAATTACACTTATGCATCTTATTCTCGTTGTATGGAACTATGTTTTAGTGTTTGAATTGATGAACTGAATGTGAAGCTAGCTGATTATCTTACTGTTACTAATGATTAACAGATAGTGCAACTAATATTGTTAGGTGGTTTTACTAGGATTTCTTTAATTAACATGTGGAAATTTTATCGTTAATTGTGCCCAAGATTCCGCATATGTTGCATTTTACTCGTCAGGAAGAGATGAGAACGTTTTTCGCATGATTTTCCCTATATACAGTAGTAGTCTTGACTAACTAGAGGTTCAAAATTAGCCTTCTGATTTTTTATCGATATGAAATGTTGATGCAGGATCTTAAAGGGCATGGTGTTTACATTAGATGTAATTATTTGTTCCTGACATCTTCCATTTGGTTGTTGCTTTATGGCCTACAAATTAGTTTTATTCTAGTTATCTTAAACAGAAAAGGGCTCTTTTATGGAAATGAATTTGTACAGATCAAATGAAGCTTAACCAAAGTTGCCCTTATATGACTTTCCTGGTAATATAGTTTGTGATTTTTTTTCTTTTGGCAGAACCCTGGTTTTGACTTTTCACAAGCCCAGTTCAATGGAGACTGCCCTGATCCGAGGACCTTTATGGGTGGCATCCGCTCTGATTGATGAGCTTTGTATGCTGCATTAGTTGCCTGCATTAGCCTGGTATAGCATCCTGACCAACATCTAGTAAATAAGACAATTTGATTAGCTGGCCAACTAGGCTTCATGCAATCTCTGTACGAACTTCAATACTACTTACGGTCTGTTGTTTCTTTTTTATAACTGTAAAGTAACCAACCTAGATTTTGTGCAATTCATCTTCCAGTGTCTGCTTCCTCACTTTACTGCAATGACACTGCCAAATCCATCTCTTTTTATGTTATAAATGCAATTAAAAGAGGTAAAGAAGTTTGCGAATATCTAGTACCCAATACTTGGAAGGAGTTAGAGTTTGCATTCTTTCAGCAGACATGTTTTATCATATAGTAAATGCCCCACCCTGTTCTGTTGTGAAAATTTAATGTCTACATGAGAATGTTGGGCATTGAATCAATCCTGTAAATATATGTTTAGATTTCATTTGGAAGGTTCGAAAATAAAGATGAAATTGCCAGGGTTGGAAAGCCGTACCTTTTAGCTTTAAAAAGTGACCAAAGGAGATGAAGAAAAACACCATCTTCTTGGAAAAACTTTCTGAAGTTAAAGAGTGGCCCGAAAAGGATGTGCTCCACCTTTTTTTTCTTCTTTTCTTCTTATTGTTTAATGTGGGTCTCAAATGGTTTACTTTAGAGTCAGAGGTAGCATTTGGAGTTTGAATAAGAATCGTATTCTAAAGTAGTGCAATTTGTGACACATTATGCCATTTCAGAGGGTTGTAAGTGATCTGGAATCGCATTCCCAGCCCCGCCGTTGGATGATAGCTATTAGCCAATTGTGTAAGCTTGTAGAACAGCAGCAAATACGTGATGGATGTTCGGTTATGATTACCGCTTTATGCTCTGCTTCTCTAGCACTTTAGTACATGTATTTTTTGAATATTTTCCTGGAGCTCCTACGAAAGGAGGAGTTCTTCCATGGGGTGGTCCTAAAGTGGTGAGCTCGTCCATTAGGACCGTGATACTTAAATTTGGCCTGTTAATAATGGCTGTCCTAGCAGGGTCTCAATGATGTTCTTGCTCGAACCCAAGTAAAATTCTGCTCGATTATTGAGCTGGTCTTCTATGCTCAATATCTTGCACAAAGGACTGATTTCCGTGATTTGAGGAACACCGATGTGGTGTTAGCTAAAGACTCTATGATGCCAAATTTAGAATAAGTAATGTATAGTGATATTCTCTTTGATGCCAAAGTTAGAATAAGTAATGAATAGTGATATTGTAGAGTTGCGATATAAGTGACCTTGAGAATAAGGTTGTACTTTTGGATTGTTACAAAGACTTTTCTCTTCTTGTTTCGACACTTAGTAGAGCTTTTAGGCATTGTTTAGTGGCTTGGCGTGAACGGAATTGGAATCATGTCTAAATCAGTCTTTATGAGTCTCATCCTTGTAAGACACGATATATTGACATGTCGTCCAATTTAGTAAACTAAATCCCAGGACACCGCTTCTCTCCTTACTTGAAAGCAGGCATTCTTACATGTCAAATTGTGATTAGCAGGAAAGTAGGAGTTCCTACTTCTTGAAGAGGCAAGTATTTTCCAAAATCCCAGAATTTATAAGTTTGCCAAAAAGAGACTAGGGCAGTAGTCTAATCTATTTGAAATAGGATGTCTTAGGGTTCTTCTTGAAGTGTTGTGGGGCGTTTGTGTTGTTGGGCCTAGTATATTGAGTCCTTCTTTGTACCATTGGGCTTTATAATGTCAAGCTTGGACCCAATGGCCTAGTGACACCCGCTGATGTTTCAATGTATCATTTGCTCTTCTTTTCTCCTTGTTTTCTGTTCAACGAATGATACATTGACACATCAGCGGGTGTGTGTCAATGTTGTGTGCCCAAATAGCATTACTCTTTTTAATATCTAAGAAATTATGGTATACTAGTGATTTGCCCCCTGAATTTGTACATAATTTTCAATTAGCCTCCTATCCTTTTTTTAAGAAAATTAAGGAACCAAACTATTTTTTTTCGCCAATGTGCCCCCTACCGTCTAAATCCTCAACAATTCATCCAATTTTCAGTTAAATTATTTTTAAAAATTGAAAAAAAAATTTGACCCAAAAAAAAAGAAAAAAAAAGAAGAAGACTGAACCAGCAACCCTATCGCTCTCCTCCAACACATCAAACCCATGACAACAGCCCAATCGTAGAAGAAGCAATACTTGAGGGGGCGAAACCCGATGGTGACGGTGACATTTTCCTTGGATTTGGAGACATCGGGCAGGGACGGCGGGTTCAGGCTGGCGGAGGAAGAGAGTGGAGACAGAGAGGGTAGCCTCCTATCCTGTTTTTTTAGAAAATTAAGGAACCAGACTATTTTTGTTCGCCAATGTGCCCACTACCGTCTAAATCCTCAACATTTCATCCAATTTTCAGTTAAATTATTTTTAAAAATTGAAAAAAAAAATTTGACCCAAAAAAAAGAAGAAAAAAGAAGAAGACTGAACCAGCAACCCTATCGCTCTCCTCCAACACATCAAACCCATGACAACAGCCCAATCGTAGAAGAAGCAATACTTGAGGGGGCGAAACCCGATGGTGACGGTGACATTTTCCTTGGATTTGGAGACATCGGGCAGGGACGGCGGGTTCATAAAACCAATTGGCAATGGGGGGAGTAGCCCAACTCCTTATAAACCCAGGCTAGGTCCCTTAACATTTCTATGTGGGACAAACACTCTCAACAAAAACCCCATCAACACATCAACCCCATCAACACATTGCCCCCTCCCCTAGCTCTATCTCCTCCAGCACATCAACCCCATCAACACATTGCCCCCTCCCCTAGCTCTATCTCCTCCAGCACATCAACCCCATCAACATAGCCAAAGCACCCTAAAACCCAGCAACCAAAGAAAAAAGAAAAAAGAAAAACAAGAGAAATCCCCAAATTGAATGAGTCTTTGTTTGAGAAGGGCATGAAAGTACTGATATGGAGGTGGAGGAGATTCAAGCCCAAGCCTGTAAGTTCCAAGGAATAGGAAATGGCAGCAACCCAGCTGTTGATTGAAATAAACATTTAATCAGAAAGGAAATTTTATATCTACGTGCAGTGAAGAAAAATCAAACAAGAGAGGAGGATTGAGAAGACAAAGTGAATATACAGATGCATGCATCTATATGGAAAAAAATACCTTTGCAAAATTTCCTAGCCCTGCAACTTGAAGAAAAAGTTGTGGACATAAAGGAGAAAGAACTTCCAAGCCAGATCCTGCCGCATCCGCGATGGCACCACCCCTGCTTCATCCACGTCTCGAGGGCCTCCGGCGGCAAAGATCGGCACAGCAAGGTGCGCAATCTAAGAGAAAGTGCCATTCTTGATAGTTTTGTTTGCACAGAGAGAGAGAGAGAGAGAGTATTTATGTTTTTATTTTTATTTTTCATTTGTTATTTATTTTTAATGTATAAAATGACCATTTTACCCTCATTTTTAACGGCAAATTGGATGAAATGTTGTGGATTTAGACGAAGGGGGGAAATTGGCGAAAAAAAAAATTCATATCTTTAATTTTCTTTAAAAAAAAGAATAGGAGGCTAATTGAAAGCGAGGTACAAGCTCAGGGGATATTTCACCAGTATACCCAAGAAATTAATAAGTTTTCGAACCAAAAAAAGAATAAGAAATTAATAAGTATTCTGACCCAAAAAAGAAGACGGAGGGGGGAAATTGATAAAAAAAGAAGAAGTTCATATCTTTAATTTTCTTTAAAAAAAAGGATAGGGGGCTAATTGAAAGTGAGGTACAAGTTCAGGGGATATTTCACCAGTATACCCAAGAAATTAAAGAAGAAGAAATTAATAAGTATAAATTTTGTATAAACAAATCATAGTGGCAATTGCCAATGGTCCCAATTCCGCAAATCAAAGTAAGCAAAGGACGGAGGAGAGGCCATCACCGACAACAGTCAGCTTCCTCCCCCAACCCATTGATCTCTCCATCCATGCACACTATAAATACGCTTCAAGTCCTCTCCATCTTTCCCTCTCTCTCATATCATCTCTATATTCTGGTGCGCATTGCGCGTCTTCTTCCTAGCGACACCTGCACGTACAATTTGCCAACCCAAACCGAACTTTGTCTTCATTCTGCGGCCATCGTCATCTCTTAAATATCTCTCTCTCTCTCTCTCCTCATTTCTTCACTGGCGCCTCTCAAGCCCTAACTTTCTTTCTTCTTCTTCTTCTTTCTCACCCATGATCCTGAAATCACACAATCGAATCCCAACCCACCAAACCCCACATGGTTCGAGACCGAAACCAACCCAATTCCACTCACCGAGTGCTAGTCTCCGGCAACTATTGCCACGACGTTCTCATCAAGGACGGCGTCGTTTTGGCCGAGACTCTCGGCGGGGCAGCCTCTTTCATCTCTAACGTCTTCGATGGCCTCTCCGTTCCCTACAATCTGGTCTCCAAAGTCGGCTTCGACTTCGCTTACTCGGTTCCTCGTGACCCCATTGTTGTACCCAATTGCAAAACCACTCTGTTCCACGCGCATTTTGATTCGGGAGTCGACGGCGACGGCCGCCAGGACCGGGTTCTGAAACGGGTCAGCTCCTGCGACCCGATTAAGCCTTCGGCTCTCTCTCCGTTCCCTACAATCTGGTCTCCAAAGTCGGCTTCGACTTCGCTTACTCGGTTCCTCGTGACCCCATTGTTGTACCCAATTGCAAAACCACTCTGTTCCACGCGCATTTTGATTCGGGAGTCGACGGCGACGGCCGCCAGGACCGGGTTCTGAAACGGGTCAGCTCCTGCGACCCGATTAAGCCTTCGGATCTCCCCGAATCCAGGTTTGATTTCGGAATGGCGGTCGGGGTCGGAGGGGAGGTCACGGTCGAGACGATGGAGAAGCTGCTTGAGATTTGCAACACTGTGTTTGTGGACATCCAGGCTCTGATCCGAGCTTTCGATGGCGTCGATGGGACTGTGAAGCATGTGGCTTTGAAAGAGAGTGGTTTCTTCCACCTATTGCCGCGAATTGGGTTCTTAAAGGCGTCGGCGGAAGAGGCCTTGTTCATGGAGGTTGAGGAAGTGAGGAAGCTCTGCTGTGTTGTTGTGACGAACGGGAGGCGTGGGTGCAGAGTGTATTGGAGAGATGGGGAAGTGGAAGTTGGGCCTTTTCCGACGAACCAGGTTGATCCGACGGGTGCCGGAGACAGTTTCTTAGGTGGGTTTGTTGCTGGGCTTGTTAATGGGTTAACTGTGCCTGATGCTGCATTGCTTGGGAACTTGTTTGGGTCATTGACTGTTGGGCAAATTGGACTGCCCAAGTTCGATATCAGATTGCTACAGGTTTGTCTCATTTGTCCTTACAAATAATCTCTCACTGATTGCTTTAGTTTTATTTAGTTGATGTATGGCTGCTTAGCTTTGATGCTGCTACTATCGTCTCGAAAGTTTGGTATAGGTGAAATCTTATTTGCGATTTATGATTATGGTATTAATGGTATTTTGACATGATAGAATTGATTTTGCTCTGAAATATAGAGTTGATAATAATTTCTGAAAACAAGGCATCACCCTGTGTGCAATTTGGATATCCAACTTGGAGCACTGGGGAGTATTGAGTTATATGTAGATGAGAGGTGTTGATCACCTGTTCAGGTATGGATAATGGGTAGAAGTTCTTCAAGTAGCTCCGAACATTGTAGTTTACTAACAGCTGTAGTTGATGGATGGAGATCCATAGGTTGTATTGTGCAGTATGCAACACTTAACCTTGCATGTCGTTATTCTGTTGGAGATGTGACTCGATGTTCTTTAGTGTGTGTCATGAAATATTTTGCTCTGGTAAACGAGATGCTACTTCTCATAATAGTCATGAGGTATAAAGTTCTTCTGGACAAGTCCTACAGGGAAGATGTATAGGGAATTTTTTTCATAAGCACTTCAAAACATTTACTGTATTTTACATGCCATACTAGCTTCTTTGTTCTGCTATTGGTAATTTTGTACAAACCGAAAATTTGTATACATTGTTGTAGTGCAATGGTTATTGAGAAACATGAGAATAAGGGCATCACTAAATAGAGTGACTATGATTAAGTAAGAAGGGCACAAGGCTCATTATGGGTTCTATTTGTGCTCAAATTTATTCTGTTTTGGATTTTCATCTCCTTTATGTAACTACTAACTGATTGTTTCCATAGCCGAAAATTTGTATACATTGTCGTAGTGCAATGGTTATTGAGAAACATGAGAATAAGGGCATCACTAAATAGAGTGACAATGATTAAGTAAGAAGGGCACAAGGCTCATTATGTGGTTCTATTTGTGCTCAAATTTATTCTGTTTTGGATTTTCATCTCCTTTATGTAACTATTAACTGATTGTTTCCATAGTGAACTGAGAATGTTCTCTTTTAGAAATATCTCATTGTTTGCGCTCTCCTTTTATCATCCAGAGAGCTCGGGAAGAGGTGCAGAGAAGAAAAATGCAGTGTGGTAACTGTTATGAAAGAAAAGATGACAAGTTTAGGTTTGTGAACGCAGCAGGACAAGAACAATTTCATGCATCTCTTGGAGTAGCTAAGCAGACAACAAAATGCCTTGCTCATGAACCTCAATGGGATCTGCCAAGTTCTCCTTCCAAACCCACAGAGCAGGTTGTCCTCTGTCAATACACGACACAGCCTAAATCGTTAACTGGCTCTGTCTACGAGGAGGCAATTAAAACAGTCGACGTTGAAAGTAAACCGTGAATCTTGACAGTGTGGCAGTATCTGATGGTGTATCAAATAATGTGTAATGTAGAAATCTATTTGCATGGGGTAGGCTGCGATTGCAACATTTCTGATCCCAGATGCTTGTATCCTTAACACTCTTTAGATCAATGTAGAACAGTAAAAATGAAAAATGCTTTCACTGAAAGAGATAAGTTTTCACTGTTCTTAAAAGACAAGAAAAATGTGCTCAATTTATCCATCTGGTTGCAATAACAATGATTTCTGCATGTTTTTCCTTGGCAAGTGTCTCTCTGATAAGATCGAAGATTCGAATGTTTTAATTGAGATGGACAAATTCAGGCTTGGTAGGGGCATGGTTTGTTCAAGTCCGACCCAATTTTGTATTAGCACGGTTCGGTACCTGCTTGGACCATTTTGGGCTGGGATGGGAGTTCCGGCCCATCAAGCCGAGTTGGGGGTTTGGCTATTTTGCTATACGAGCCCATCCTATTAAAAAGTTTTTTTTTATATAAAAAAAAAAAACAGCTACCCATTAGCAACCAAAACTACACCTATTAGTTGTAAACTTGTGATTAAAATTAGGGATGTGGACGTCTTTGTCTTCCTAATTTAAATTTTGGTCAATAGGGGATCAAAAATCTTCATTAACTCAACGGTCGCTTTGTTTTTCTGTACACTCCCGATTTAATTAACTCGACCGTTTATTTCCATCGATGGTGCCACGTGTATTGGCTGCTGTGTCACGAGCAGCTAATAATTGTTATAAAAAAATTCACAGTTAATAATATACGATGGTACGTGGAAAATTTATCATACGTGCCATTGCATTATTGTTCAAGATATCAAAACGTGATAGAATTTCACTCCAATTATTGGTGTTAGAAATGGGGCCCACATATCCCATAAAATGGCTGAGTCCAATCCTTTGCCCTTTTTACTTAGCTTCAGAATTCCAAAAGGTCGTCCCCGAAAAAAACAAAACAAAGATGAATCCCTGTCAACCATTCGCCAACCACCACCACCACCACCTTCTCCTCTTGTTATTTTCAGAAATCCCCAAATTAGCCAAGCTCCCTTCTCTAATTCTCCATCTGTGCCCCCTCTCTGCCTCTCCAATTTAGGGTTTCTGATCCGATCCTCCCCTGGTGCACCGACCTATCTCAGAAACCCTAATCCTCTCGGAAACAAAATCATCCCTGATCGTATTCTATTCTCACGCTAGGGTTTTATTCATCATTATAATTATCATTTCCGATTCTCTTGGTTACGTCAAACCCTAGCTATATCTGCATCGATGAAGCACACGAAGAGGAGAAGGAAGAAGAAGAGCTCGGTAGATCCGAAGCCAGTCGCCAAAGAAGACGAAGGCCAGAAGGTGATCCGCGCGCTTACAGAGGTCTTCTCCTCGGTTTCACTCGACGACGCCGTTTCTGCTTATCGCGAAGCCAACGGTGACCCGAACAAAGCCGCAGAGATTTTTGAGCGAGCTGTGGCTGAAAGCTCCGAAGAGCCGTTCACGAGTTCCACAACGAGTGTCGTTTCTGGATCGGATGCGGGTTCGAGTTGGGGCTCGAGCTCGGGTTCGGGTTCGTCAGAAGGGTTCGAGTCGGGCTGTATTCAGAATTTAGTGGGCGAGAAGGGTTTTAGGGGTAAGCAGAAGAGGGTTGTGGCGGCCGCGGGAACGGTATCGACAGTTTTGGGTAAAGATTACGTGAGCTCGAATCCTAGGAGAGGTTCATGGTCGACGATGACGAAGCTGAAGGGTTTTGGTAATGGAGTTGCTGCTGGGGAAGAAGATGCCGAGCAGTTCCTTTGCTCTATGCTTGGAGATGAGTCTGAGCTAAGCTTGGCTGTTGTTAGAGATGTCCTGTGTGAGTAGCCACTAATTTTTTTATTTATTTCCGAGCTAAGTTATTCAAATTGTAGTATGTGTAGTGTTGTATAAACTATGATTTACGTACTAACTGAAGCGAAGCCCTGTAGATTTTTTTTTTACTGTTTATTTTTATTTTTAAGGTCTTTTGTTCTGTAAGTTTGAGTTGAGTTGAGTCGAGCAGAGTAGGATATGTTGTATGCTGTTGCATGACCTGAAAGTTTGTTTTTGCAGGTCAGTGTGGGTATGATGTTGAAAAGGTACTAAGAGCATTGTGAGTCGGAGCTTATCATTTTTTTTTCTCTCTTCTAAGGGCTTGCATATGTCGGTTTGAAGATGAGTTAGTTGTGGCTAGCGTGTATAGAGTTTGTATCATGTTTCACTGAGTGCTTAAGATATTTATGGAACATTCGCCAGGGGGCATGAGCATTATGGAAATTTTGTTCGAGCTAAAAGAAATTTCCTATTTGAACCTACTGGGTTTTCTGTTATAATCTAATGACCATTTATATGCTTCTCCAGGCCTTGGATGCATTACTTGATGTATCTTCTTCCTCGTTTGAACAGTCCAGTAGTAGTTCTAACAATAGTTTGATTTTTAAAGGAGATGGTAGATATCGCATCGATCAGTCTGATACTGTAAGTACTATATTTTGTGCTCTTTATTTTGTGTCAAGGCATTGTTGTTAAACATAATAGTATAAACTTGTCGGGTTGTGCTTTTGATTCTTTTTCGTTCAATAGTATTGTGTCACTTTATTATTCTGAACATTATTTTTGGATAGTTAATATGCAGAGTTTAACTGCACAAGTTTGTGGTGGCACTCATATTTGTTATGGTGTGAGTCTGTAGGTTTTTGCATCTGGTGGTTTGCTTTTTGTTGATATGACTGCCTTTAGTTTCTTACCATTCAGGACCATCTAGAGGCTTTCTTGTCCTTGTCTTTTTGCTAAGATAGTTTTTCTTATCAGTCCCTCACCAGAAGTTACTTTTGTATTTACCCTATGTTAGAATAAAGACTCCTCTGTTCACATCTTGACAAGTAGGGGACTGAGTTTGTGGAGGGTTTGGGTTGGTTGAACTCATGTCAAATATACATGACTAACGTAGTGTTATTTAGATGTGTCTGTACATCATCTGATTGTGAATTTGCAGCAAACATCCCCCACCCCTTTTCTTGTTCTTTCTTAATTTAGTAGGATGTAGTTGATACATTTTCCAGAGTGTTGTCTTACTGAAATTGAGATGTTTATGATATCTTCTGTAAGAGACTAGTGAGTGGCTTTGCTGTATGCGCTTATGAAGGATAATGATTGATAGTTTAGTTTATTTAACTTTTTTGTGAATTATTTTTATACATATGTTGGCCGCTAAATTTTTTACTTATACTTTTCTTTTTAAAATTTCATAATAGTTGGTTTTGTGCTTTGTCTATATTGATTATGGAATTTTGTGACAGCTGACAGATAGGGCATCTGATTGCACTTCTCATTCATCTGAAAGCGAGCTCCAGGATAATATATGGTATTCCGGATATACTTGCCGGTAAATTATTCTAATTCGACGCTTCTGTTTTCCATTTTTCTTTTCTTTCTTTTCTTAACCCAATGAAATCCTTGATCATTTCATTTTGAGTATACAGTATAGTTATAGTGATAACCTTTTCTCTTTTGGCATGGCACGATGGCATCTATTAGGTGCTGCATCAGTGGCTGGCAGTGTAGGATTTTTAAGCCAATTAGGTGTTGTGTGGCAGTGTAGGATTTTGATGGTTAGGAACATTGCTTTTTATGCCAATTAGCCATCTTGCATCAAGGATGTACATTGTAATTTTATGTTAAAACTTGATTGAAGAGCCTATGCATTTGGATAGCATATGATGTTAGTTTTGTATGAGGAGAACCTTTTGTATAGCAGCTTAAGTCATTGGAGTTTTAGTCCTTTCGTTTTTTCACTCTTGGGGTAATTCCAGGAGATACCATTGATATTTGTCTCAAACCATACATATACATATTTTTCTATCTGGAATCATTCAGTTTGTGCCACTTATGGTAGTAAGTATTTCATATACCATTTATATGCTATTATGCAGATTAGGCAAATATGTCATGGCATAAAGCTTGTTTAGGTCATTTATTTGAGGCTAAATGTACTTCTCGCTGTGAGAATGTTAGAAGTGTAGAGCCTGGTCTCACAAGCTAAGTTGCTTTCTTTGTTTTAGGAATTATGCAAAGGTTCTTGCTAGTTCTGACACTCAATCACCCGTCAGCCCAAGAAGTACTCCAGCAGAACTCCCTCAAAAGGTGTTGGAATCTTTGTTTAACATCTCCAAGAGTCCTGAATATGAACCAACAGCCATGAATTGGAAGAATGTTGTAAATAAGTTACAAACATTGGCACCCGGGTTTGATGTTTGCACTTCTAGCTCTGCAGAAGCACAGAAGGACACCTTTGGTATTGAACTTTGATTTCCTGATGTTTCCTTTGAAATTGCATCTTCTCTTGTACGAAGGACTTGTTTCCTCTTAGATTAGTGATTAATTCCGTCATAATTAAGGTTTCATTTTTTTAATGCTTCTTTTGTTTACTTTTTAATGAATGGTTATTTACCCAACTGTAGCAGTGTAGTTGCATTTATTCTTATGTTTTTCTGTTTCCTTTTTCATTTAGTTAAAGGAGACGAGTATCATGCATTCAGAGGAACTGCAAAGGAGCACTGGGATTCAGTGAGGTCGCATTATCAGAAAGTAAGATGGTTTTAGCACCTTACTTTTATTGGTTATTTTAGTAACTTACTGACAAGAGCGCATTTATCTACAGGCTGCAACGGCATATTCAAAAGGATCACGGGAATACGCAGGTTACCTCGCTGACCAGGTCTGTACTTCGTTAAGAGCATAATATTGCAAGTTTGTTGTTTGGGATGTGTGCTTTCATTGGATCGTTTTATAATGATGTAAGGTGGTTGTTTGGGTGGTATGCTTTCATTGGATTGTTTTATAATGATGTAAGGTTGTTGTTTGGGAGGTGTGCTTTCACTGGATTGTTTTATAATGATGTAATTTGAGGCATGCACGATGATGGAGTGGTAAGCACAATGTGTTAGATGTTTGGACTTCCTATCAAAATTATTAGTAAATATTTGACAATAGCTAAAGTGTGCTGTTTGCGCTTTCATTGGTTTTTTTCCCTATCAATGTCCATATATGAGGGCTAGTAGGCATCTAACTCTATTTGTCAGTTTAAGTTTGTTCATATTTTCTAGAGGGCCAAGCCTCATGGAAAGCTGTTGTCGTTCTTCTTTTTTCTTGTTTTTGTATCAAGTTGAGATATTTACCTGACCTCTTATCTTGCATTTGGCCAGGGGAAAGTACAGACAAAGTTGGCCCGAGAGGCTGATGAAAGGGCAAGCCAGGATATCTTTAAAGCTAGGTTGGCATGATATATTCGTTGCCTTTTTCAACTCTTAGCTTTTTCTTTGTAGACAAACTAAACTAATGTTATAATCTGCAGAAACAAGGGCATAGAAAATGTGATAACAATTGATTTGCATGGACAACATGTCAAACAAGCAATGAAGCTTTTAAAAATCCATCTCCTATTCGGAACATATGCACAATGTAAGTGTTTTGTACCCCACTTTCTCATTTTAAAACAAATTTGCTCTGATAAATTGTTAGGTATTGTGAGTTTAATTACTTTTCTATGTCTGGTCCAGCGGTTCAATTCCTGAGGGTCATCACAGGGTGTGGGTCACATGGTGTTGGAAAGTCAAAGCTGAAGCAATCGGTATGGGTTTAGCTGCTCCATTGCATTAAATTTGTTGGAAAATCAGGCCTTGGTGGTTTTAAAATCATATAAAAATGATCAAACTGGTGCCTTTGTTAATTTATGTGCAAATAAAATGTTCTTTTAACTCATGATGGTGCCATATTTGTATGTGCTAGTGAATTTGACCTTTCCATCTTTTAAATTTTTTTTAGCAAAAGAGAAACGTATGTTTTTCATTGAATTTTTTTAATCTTTAGCTTTATAGGGACAAAATCTTCGTATGTATACATGATACATTACCTAACTGTTTGCCTTGCACAGGTCATCAAACTTATTGAGAATGAAGGTATAAAATGGAGTGAAGAGAATCGGGGAACGGTATTAATCAAGCTAGGTGCACAGAAAGAGTTCAGCTTTCTAGATTCGGAGAGTGATCCTGAGTAACCCCCTTTAACATAGTTACTGAGTATGATCCCTTTGCCGGAATGAGTGAATTAAACTGTAACGAAGACTAGTTTATGTAAAACCATCCACAGGTTGTGTTTCGGGTCATTGTTTATTGTCACAGCTGTTAGGGATAGTGTAGTGAATGTATTGTTGAAGGTCGATCAGGTTTCTCAGATGTTGATATTCATCATTTTACATACCATACCATAGGTGGCTAAATTATATATTTGAAAAAGTTCAAGCTTAGCTCAAGTTGCTCCTTGTACTTACCGTGTGTAGGGCATGTATATAACTTGAGAAAAAAACTGTGTAATTTAACTTAGTTGTCAATGACCTGATACACTCCATCAAATACATACATATCCCTTGTTCCATACGGTTTCGTGTTTTTAATTTTGTTTTTTTATTGTATTTTTTATTTTTTTAATTCATTGGAGAGAGTAGAGAGATAAAGGAGAATGAAAACTAAAAGTTCTCTGTTATTTTTATTGTTTCTGTTGTGGCCAACTTGGCTAAGCTCGTGTCTGCCATTTTTCGGTTTAAATTTCAAAAGTTGCCTTTTGTATTCTTCCTCATCCAATTACATTTATTATCTCAACTTCTTTCTTTGATTAAAAAATAATATAAAACTTTCATATATACCGAAGAAACTTTATGAACTAAAGAAGAATATGAAATTAAAAAAACTATCATATAGACCGACAAGGAAATTACAATAGGCCTCTAGTGTACTAAGAAAGGAAAATTCACAATCATTAAAAAATTTCTCACAAATTTTCAAAATATTTTTTAATTGTTGAACCAATATGTGATGTCGTCTATTTGTTGGTTGCATATATATTCTCCAAACCACCTGAGTTCCAAGCTTCCACTGCCCTATCATCACCAAGCCCAGAACTTAGCAAAGGCTCTAGGGTTTCAGCCATCTGAGGCAACTCCATTGACAATGGTTGTGGCTCTACTGTTGCCAACAATTCATTGACGTCAAAAACATATTCTTCATCAGTCAGACCACCATAGTCGAAGCATACCGGATCAGACGCAAAGTCACTGGTCATCAACATGTTATCTTGATTATCACCACAAATATTATTCGAAATCGCATTATAATTAGTATCGATTATCAGCTCTTGATCAAGATTATTATAGACGCTACTTTGGCCAGAAGTTCTGTGCGGTTCCTCATCCTCAATCTTGATCCATGGTGATCCCAATCCTTTTCTTGCCTTCTTGTTTGAGGGTTTCTCCTTCAATTCTTGAGTTGAATTATTTATTTTGTTCCAAACCCTGTTGTTCTTTTTAAGTCGGCATAGCACAATCTTTTGTGTCTCTTGATCAACAAGACTATATTCTTCTAACAGCCACTTGCCGTGGTGCTCACACCCTTCGTTCTCGTACCGCAAATTCCTTTTTCGCCCGATAGGGTTTCCAGTCGTCTCGTCGTAAACCTTTTTGGAGAAGGCTTCGCTCCAAGTACCTCCGGCCTCAATCTTGCGTTTGATGCGCGAACCCTTTGGGCTTGAATTCTTGAGCTCCGAGAAGAAATACAAGTCTTCGTCAATGAGGTCAGGTCCTCCGAAGATATCCCAGACGACCCAGGGCTCTGTTTCGCCCAAAGGATTGAAGTCATGCACAATGTTGCTGTATGACGCCATTAATGGCTCCTTGGCTATCGCTTTCTTGTAGAGGAAGTAACTGATGAGTTCTTGATCGGTAGGGTGAAACCTAAAACCCACCAGCCGATTACCACTATAATTAGTCATTGTTAGCCTATTTGAAAGCAATTCACGCTCTCTCTCTCTCTCTCTCTCTCTCTCTCTCTCTCTCTCTCTCTGTGCTTAAATCTTTGATCAGAAAAGGAGAAAGAAAGACTGACTTGACTTTGTGTTTGCTTGTGAGTGATTTATAAGCATGGGGTGGTGTTGTTTTCCTAGTTATGTTGGGTCTCGGATTCCCGTTTTGAATCTTTATTTTATGTTGGCACTTAGCTCTCTTTTATTTTATCACTTGTTGTTTTCCTAATTATGTTGGGTCTCGGATTCCTGTTTTGAATCTTTATTTTATGTTGGCACTTAGCTCTCTCTTTTTTCTTTTTTTGAATCACTTTATTATATTACAGGCTAAAAATTTGTGAGGCTCCATAACAAAAGGAACCTGTAACCTGAATTTAAGAAATATAATAAACTATATCATGCTGATTAAATAAAAAGAAAAAGGGATTCGGAATCCTCTCCTAATCCCCTTAATCTCCCAACCTACCTAAAGTTTGAACCATAAAAAAAACCAAGTAATTAACATTACATCCTACGAACTCATATTAATTATAATTTTTCTGTTGGGTTCTTTAGAAAGAACTTTGTTAATAAACCCCAGCGTCGGGTTGTACATCAAAGAGCCAAACTTTCTTGAACAGTCCACGACCAATCCTCTTTAAAATCATGTCATTGGAAAATAGACTTGCAAGAAAGTAGCCATCACCTCTCTCACCGACAGGCTTGAAAACCCACAACTGCAGAGCTCTCGACCCTTCTTCCCACCATCATTTTGATATTTACAGATCCAGGCTCAACATAATGGGTTACCATAACAAAAAGGTGGGTTGGCGGTTTTCGATGATCTTGCTGGATTTCACAGCCTCACGATTTCGTACTTGAAACGTAGCACTTTGTTGTTAAAAGGTTGGCAAGGTTAGGAGAGTTTGGAAGGAGAGGAGAAAAGAGGATCCGCACCCAAAGGAGGAGCTTGAAATATCCACTTCAAATTAAGAAATCTATTGGTACATTATTATAACATCTTCAGCGATCTCAAACATGGAAAATTAAGGATAAGTAGAACAGTTACAACTACTATCACTCAGTATATGGAGAAAGATAGCAACATCTAGAGAGGAAGTTCGCCACTGTCTGCGATCGCGACTTTGCTCTTGGGTGTGCCATTCTGATTTCCTTCGGCTTCAATCTTGTAAACCACATCCATTCCAGACAGCACCTTTCCAAATACAACATGTCTGCCATCCAACCTGTAAATAGGGATTCAAATATTAGTTCAGAAACTTCGGAGCAACTCCTGATGAAGTCGGTAGTTCAACCCCAATTCGAATGAGTGCAAAGATGCAAATATGTAAGGTGAGGAAACCATGCATCAAGTAGCAGACGACAGTTGTTTTAGAAGTTTTTTCTCTTTTACAAGTATGCACGGATGCACATTAAATTACCAGTTAGTTGTCACAGTTGTGATGAAGAACTGTGAACCATTGGTGTCGGAACCAGCATTTGCCATTGACAAAAGCCCTGTACACAAGAGTCAAGTGATTTTTGTTCACATCAGCATTATGATAGGTGGCAACCATCTATTCCATTCAGAGAATAAAAAAGGGGGGGGAGGGGGGGGAGGAAGGAGTTGTATTATTTGTCTACCTGGGCCAGTGTGCTTCAGCTTGAAATTCTCATCAGCAAACTTCTCTCCGTAAATTGATTCTCCACCTCTTCCATCACCAAGTGTGAAATCACCTCCCTGAATCATGAAACTGGGTATAATCCTATGAAATTTGCTACCCTTGAAATGGAGAGGTTTTCCACTCTTTCCAATGCCCTTCTCCCCTGAAATTATATGGAAAACAAAAAGGAAACGAACAACATTACAAAGATATATATATATAAATATAGAGTTTTTCTCTAATGCGGACATCCGCATTGTGTTAAAGTCCGGTCATGTCCTTCCAGCTTCTTTTCTGTAGGTGGATTTGATTGCATACATATATATAAAGCAAAAACATGGTAAGCACTCCATATATAAATATATAATTAAGGATGGGGCCTTCCAAAAAGTATCCCAAAGGTGGGAAGGTGTGCAGAAGAACAATAAGCAATACCATTGGTTGCTACTGTAAGCTGGCTTCTTTTTCTGTTTAATTATAGAGCCATATCAGTGATGAACGGGTTCCACTAAGCTAGTATGGTTCCTCAAGCAAAGTGGGTTCCACTAAGAACCAAATCCACTTGCAAAAAAGAAGCTGCAAAGGAGACGACTGGACTTTAACATAATGCAGACGTCCGCATTAGAGAAAAACTCTATATATATATATATATAAGCAACTTCTATATTGAATAGCAGTTTCCAAAGGGATACAAGGAAACATTCCTCTATTAACTCGTACTACTTCCTAATCTCTACTGTTTTGTGGCAATACAGAATACAGGAAGATTTCTATATATCTACCAATTATATGCATCCTCCCATTGTAAACGTCCAGTTGTTAGCAAGCTTGAGGCCTTAACCAAATTTCATTTTATATGCATTTCTAATAATAAACCCCAAAAAGCAGATACCGCATATAATCTATTAAGCTATATACAAGGAAATGAAGATGAGTGGCTGGTCACCTGTGCAAAGAGCTCGAAAATTTTCTGAAAAAAGAAAAGGAATAAGTTAGTAATGTCCTGCAAATGTAGCTTTGAACACAGAACCCACCAAAATGAGTGATTATTCACTACAATACCTGCAGTCTTGGGAACCGTCTTCCCAAAGAGACCGATTACAACCCGACCTGAAACCCAGTGATCAGAACAGTATCAATATCTGTTAGCCAAAACCAAAAAACCTCTAAATCATCACTTCGGAATCCCCAATTTTCATTTGCCAACACTCTATGAACATAACCACATTCCCACCTCTACAGAAATTATCACCTTTCAGTTCCCTATTGCGCTTGTATATTATCATATTAATATAATACCAATATCAAATTTGAGAGCAGCCACTTAAAATCATTGAATTTTGAGTGATGGGTCAAATTTTGTTTTACAATCTAATCAACAAACTATATTACAAAGTAAAAACATACCAGCAGGCTTGCCAGCAATCTCAACATCAAAGAAAACTTTGTGGGTCACTTCCTTCAGATCCTCCTTTGACTTCTTTGCCTGAATGATCATCAAATCACTTCATCAATCACTTATTTCAACCAAGTTTATGTATTTAAAAAATTACAGAAAAAAAAAATTATACCCAATAGGCTGCAATTGGATCAGAGTGAGACTGTGATAAGGAATTAAGCTAATATCAAAAATATTCACCTGGATGAGAGCTAGGGTTCCGAAAAGGACGAGGGTGCAGAGCAAAAACGACGTCGTCCGAGCCATCTCTTGCTTCTTCAGTTCTTCAAAGTCTCAGTGTTTCTGTCTCTCTCTCAGATATGGTACTGATGAAGTACACATTCACATAGAAGAGTCTTAGGGTTCAGTGTTCCAGCCAATACGATTTCGACACGTAGGAAATTTTGGTGTTTTGGTTGAATGCGATTGGTTGAGCCGTCTATGGTGCCGTCGACAGTCTCAAACTTTTTTGATGTCAATGGATACGGGCCGATTTCTGAGAGCTGTTTTGGGCCTACGGGCTGATTGGTGAGATGCATTTGGGCCTACATGCGTCATAATTTTTGTTTATGTCAACATTTGTTCTTTTTTTTTTGTTGTCAATATCAACAGTGGTCGCATTCTCTTGGAAAGGAAAGTAGTAAATCATAGTTTCCAATTATAGACACTGAGTGCAAACAAATAAAATTTGTGGTTTTGATGATTTTTTTTTGTATATGTGTTAAATTGTAATTTGCAGGAATGAGGATTGTCTCCTTATATGGAATAATGCAAGCATTGCTAACTTAGTGAAAAGGGCATTGACTTATAGACTAGTGATTATGAGGGTCTAAATCTGAGGAGACCACTGGTGTGCAAGTCAATATCATTTTTCATTGGAGTAGACCTCGTTGACATATCTCTTTTCTTAAAAAAAGTTGATTTTCCCACTTCTCTTTTGTCCACTTACACTCTCTTTTCTTGTATGGTATAATAAAAAGTATTAAAAACAAAATGTAGTGTAAGAGGATAAAAGATGAGTGGGAAGATCAATATTCTTTCTTAAACCTTTATTTTAATCTTTATTCAATTTCCCAAAAAAGGAAAACTTTTGTTTCCCTTAAAGAGCAAATGGAAACATTCATAAAGTAACTAGGTTTGGATAGAAGTTGTGATTAACCTTTGCATTATCGTGTTCAAGTTGTGCTATCATGTAGCCCTGAAAATCATACCCCAACTACCAATCCAAAACAACATGACAATTCATAAAATGTTCGACAATAATAAATAAACAAAAAGAATTATGGGACTCTATCAACCACACCATTTCAAGCTCGTTGACCGACTACTTTGTGGGACCACAAGACAAGACCAACTTCCAAAGTGAAAAATCAAGCATTTAAAACACATAAACTAACCGTCACGGCCCAACTACCATTCCCCATGGAGTAAAAAACAAAGAAGGAAAGCAGAAAGAGGACTTCTTGGTGAGAGTGTCACAGCCTCTTCACCACCGCCTTTCCATCTTCAATGGCCGACTACTTCCACTACATTACTCAAGGTGAGTGCTTTTTTTTCAAAATATTAATATAACTTTGTTTAATAATTTTGCTTCTTTGCTAATTGCTATGTATAAAAATAACAGCCAAAGAATCAATTTTGGTTATTTTTTGTGTTCAGAATGGAAAACCCAGAACCAGATCAGGGTCAACATGTTTCTGTTCCATCTTCTTCTTCTTCTTCTTCTTCTTCACCATCTAGCTCACAGGTGCAAGATGAAGAAAATCACAGGCCTCAAAATGGGGATGATATTTCTGATGAGCAGAGCCAACACAATCATATTGAACAGCAGCCACAACAACAACAGCAGCAGCAGAGGATTTCTAGGACTTTTACTTATCATGTGAATTTGTTGGTGTCTGATGTAGCAGCATCCGAGATGAAGGATGATGTTTGGTCTTGCCTTGTTGTGCTTGTCACGTTTTGGTTCTTTGGTCAGTTTCCCTTTCCATCCTTTACTAGTTTAGGGCGTTGCTTTGTCAAAAAATAAATTAAAAAAATTCCAGAATCCAATCAACCCATTTCGCTTGTGCCATGTGCATTTAAGGATAGGATTGCATTTGGTTCTTTCATAAATGGTATGAAATGATCTGAAAATTTTCATTTTGCTATATTGGTTTTTCCCATATGATCCAAGCAGACAAGAAGAGCCAAACTTGTACTCTCTTTTTTTTTCTCTTCTTTTGAAGTTTTTCCTTCTGTTGTTGTTACATAATGAACTCATTTACTAATGACTTGAGCATCTAACTCATTTGGTTTGCTTGGATTGCTTGTGGTTTCGATTTTCCTCACCCGCAGCATCCATGACTTTGATACTCGGTTTTTATGGATCGGCCGATTTGAAATTGAGGCCGAATTGCTCACTCCTGATACAACCTAATCCCTTCTTTGTGCAGTCCATTAAGGTGATTCAATCTCATAATTCTCATTTTACCTCTTTTTTTTTTTTTGCTTTTTCCTTTCTGCTGCAGCTGTTAGTGTGCAGTAAACTCATTTAGTCTATAAACAGGCACAAGAACTTGATGAGCCAAAACCTGGGCCAATGTTATATGGATTTCACAAACCTCCTCCCCTGGATGTTGAAATAGCTTGGACTGAAACACATGATACACTTGTGCCAGCCAATTATCACAAGGTAAGATGTTTGCCATTTACCGTATAGTATCTATAGTTTCTTCTCTTCTCCTCTTCTCTCATCTTCACTCAAAATTTTTTTTTTTTCATATATTTTGATTGATGGGATAAAATTTCTTTTATTTTCATGTAACAGGAATGGATATACTTTCTAAACAAAGGGTCCAGAATAGATATTTTTTACCGTGTAAAACCCACAAGTTCCTTGCCTTTAACGCTTGTAGTCGCACAAGGTAATTCCCAACTTCTGCTCTTCAAATTGGGAAATTTTGTTATTATGATTGAAGTGCCTCCTCTATGGTTATCTAAACTTTACGGTATCAAGGTCTAGGCTTCATGTCAAATCAATTAGTTGAAGATTGGAATAATGTTCTGTGGCAGCTTCTTTGCTACAATCATCTAAAGGTCATGCCAACAATCATCAAATAACTTTATAAGAATGCAAACTTGGATATATGTTCTCGAGACTAGGACTGATAATCAAGTACATTTAAAGAAATTGCATCCTATTAGTGACACTTCAAAACTTCCCCAATTTCTGTGTCTTGCTTCCTCTGCTGCTCTTGAAACTAAACCACTTTCCCCTGAGGCCAAATGTCTCTACTGCTGGTTTATTATCTAGCCCTTATCGTAGGGGGAGCCTTTTGTTTTTTTGGTCTTCTTCTCTATTTTTGGGGGGTGGTGGTGGTGGGAGTGGTAGAAGAACTCAAATGTGTTTTCGTGTATTGAAAACTTTCATCTGAACCTGCAGGTAGTGAAAGCATGGCTGAGTGGATAGAGGATCCATCATATGGTAACGCAACATTGTCTTGGAATATAATTTATGGTGAGCTTCATCAATCAATGCTCTATCCTCCCTTTTAGCACCAATTAGATTGTTCTAAGCAACCTGGTTTCTTCACAGAAAGTGGTAAGATCCAGCAGGAAATTCCAAAGTCTTCTAATTATTATATTGCAGTAGGGAACTTGAACCCTGAGGATGTTGAGGTAATTATTCAAATGTGCATGACCTGTTGTATATAATTATATATCCATAAATAAACATCAACAGCTTTATTGACCTTCCAACAGGTAGAGTTGGAATTCAACATTAAATCTGTTCTTTATAACACAACCGAGGCGTATTACAAATGCTCCTTAGATAACCAATTATGTAGCTTAAAGCTTTCCCTCTTGGGGACAAGTGCTGTTGTCATAACTTCTCCAGGTCCTAAAGAGGTAATGCAAAAGACTCTCCTTTGCTAGTTTTCTTTCTCTTCTGCCCCTTTTAGGTCATCAATGCAGCTTCCAATACTTTGTCACGATAAATGTATTCTTTGAATCCCAATCATGTATCTTTAATCTTCAGTCATGATTCTTCTAGGGTGTCCCTGACGATGACTGGTACATCAGACTCTCTTATGGACCGCGATGGGTCATGTATTTTCTTGGATCAGGTTACTTTTTGTTTGCTTCCATATACTTCTCATAACACTGATAAAAAAGGAAAAAGAAAAGGTCTACTAACACCTACCTCTATGTTTGCATATAGGTGTGATGACTGTGCTCCTCTTAATGGCCTTTAGATTTTGTAACATATTCCAAAACTCTGGTGAAGACAGAACAGAATTTCAAGCAGGGGAGGCAGAATCCGAACAAACCCCATTGCTTTCGCCAAAAGATGACGATGTTTTGAGTTGGGGTTCATCTTATGAATCTGTTTCAAATAACGAAGAAGATTTGGAAGAGAGCCTTGAAGTGAGTTTCCTTGTAGGAAAGTCAATAAATGAAGGGGATAACAACAATACTCAGCGTCTTTGTGTTATTTGCTTTGATGGTCCAAGAGATTGTTTCTTTCTTCCTTGTGGGCACTGTGCTGCCTGTTTTACTTGTGGAACAAGGTATGTGAATCTACATCATGCCTCTTGTGCAACATAAGACACCATACCTTGTTAAACATAATCACTAATATTAATCAAATCATTGTAACTTCTGCTAAATCCTAATTAGTGGATTCACCGTGCAGGATTGCCGAAGAGGCGGGTACTTGTCCCATATGCCGTAGAAGGATGAAGAAAGTGAGGAAGATCTTTACAGTCTGAGCTGTGTATATAAGTGAGCCAAGTTTGTAGGAGCTCCCTTGCACCATACTTCTTAATGGTCCATTGTGGATATTTTTCACTAACAGATGAAGTTGTGATTTTTATTGTAATATGAGACTTTTCTTTTTTCCTTATTTTTCTTTCTTTTCTTTTTGTTTGTACAATTCATACGGTTTTCACATGAAGCTTTTGAGGAGGTTGGCAACATAATGCAGTTTACTTTCCCTTATTCTGAAGTTTGGGATTTTTCTCTGTATCAATATTGTAGCTTGATTTTCCGGATGTGTATATCTCACACATGTAATTTGTTCACAAACTAGAGCTGATTTTGTATGATTCAAATGTTTCATACACCCTTCGCTCGATTTTAAGATGAAGATTTTTCCTGCTATTATTGGTTATCTTATTTAGCTTAATCAAGAAGAATCAAGTGCAATTTGTTATAAACAAGAATCAAGGTAATTTTGTTTAGTGGTCATCAAGCTTCAAATATAACAAAACAAATTAAAAACCAAGGTTGGGTTCAATATACAATAAACTATTTGAATTTACATGACACTTTGGTAGTTTGTCAGATTTCATTTTCTCTTCCTAACTTTGGCAAAATAAAAAATAATTATCAAAATCAAAACCGCAAGCATCGAAATTGTAATTCCCTTAAATTATGATAAATATTTTCATGAAATGAGGAATTCGAACTCGAATACAAGAGAATGGAACACTGCAGACCTACTTCAAGGAAAGACAATTTCGCCGGTTACAAATTGACTTAACTCACATCTGCATAGGCTATTGTTTAGTGTCCGAAGAATTTTCTTGGTACGAAATGAAAGTGTTGTTGATTCATGAAATCACCAGTTTATTGCGCAGAGGGTCCCACACCATCCATTTTTCCCGCGAAACGCAAACGAGGAGAAAACGGGTCAGGAAGCTATTAAAATCCACCCACGTGGCAACACACCACTGTTGAGTGGGTCCCAGCAGAAGCAAAAAACCAAGGAGCTCATCCCATTCCCAGGTGACGACCGATTACAAATTTACAAGGCGACAGAAGAAAAGACAATGCAGCCCCCCCACCCCCACTCATCCACAGCCACCTCATCGGACTATGGCTCCAAGAGCCACCGCTCGCTCGCCCTCTTACATCCTTCCATCCGTCGTCGCCTTATCCCTCCTCTCTCTCGTTGTCGTTGTCTACAAGGTTTTTAAACGCCGCATCGTTTTCTGCGTCTTCATTGTTTCTTCTTGTTTCTCAGTCTCAATTCGTTTGGGCATTTTGTCGAACAGGTGGACGACTTCGCCACTCAGACGAAGACATTGGCGGGCCACAACCTTGACCCAACGCCATGGCACCTCTTCCCTCCCAAGACCTTTTCCGACGAGGCCCTTCACGACCGAGCCTACAAGCTCATCCACTGCTCCTACCTCGCTTGCCGCTACAGAAACAACGACATCCCTGAACGGCATCGTCCTCCTTCGTCCAGCGCGAAAGCCCCAAAATGCCCCAATTTCTTCCGATGGATCCACCACGATCTGGAGCCGTGGGCCCGAACCCGGATCTCCGCGGCCCATCTGGAGGCGGCAAAGCAGTACGCTGCGTTTCGTGTGGTGATTGTTGGCGGGAAGCTGTATGTGGATTTGTACTGGGCTTGTGTGCAGAGCCGAGCCATGTTCACCATTTGGGGTTTGCTGCAGCTCCTTGCGAGGTACCCGGATCGGGTTCCGGATGTAGATATCATGTTTGATTGTATGGACAAGCCCATTATTAACCGGACCGAGCATGAATCAATGCCTTTGCCACTTTTCCGGTACTGTACGGATGAAGATCACTTTGATATCCCATTTCCTGATTGGTCTTTCTGGGGTTGGTAAGAATCATCAGTCTTTGATTATTGTCTTCTACATTTATTATTGTTGTCTTTTCAAATTTACAGTTTTTTTATGTGGGTAATTATGCTTGTTTTTTGAGCAAAAAAGATATGCTTGTTTTATACGCATTGCCCTTGACTCAATGGGAAAGAACCTACATTTATGATTTGTTTGTGTATGCTTGAATTGCTATAAGAAATTGTAAATTGGAATATGCTTGCATCAATTTTACGCTGTCCCCGTTTTAGGTGGATCAATCACCGCTGTCATAAATGGAATTTTCCAGGATTGACATAGTTTGCTAAACTTGTACTAAGTAGCATGAAAATGTTGCTTTTATGTGGGCTTCAAATGCCTGGTTATGGTTTTATTTTTGCTGATTGTCTTTATAGTCTATGATTACTGCACAGGCCGGAGCTACATATTTATCCCTGGAATGAGCAGTTCCGAAATATCAAACGGGGTTCTAAGGAAAGAAGTTGGAGAAAGAAGGAGCCTTTCGCGTATTGGAAAGGAAACCCAGATGTTAGTTCCCCTGTTCGTACAGAGTTACTTAACTGTAACGACACTAAGATGTGGAGAGCACAGATTATGCGTCAGGTTGTATTAAAAATTGCAAATGTTGATATCTCTTTAACTTGAACTCTGGATTTAATAGGCCTAGGACCAATCCTGACATTGTCTTTCTAATATACATTATAGGATTGGGAAGCAGAAGCAAGAGCTGGTTACGAGCAGTCCAAACTGTCTAATCAGTGTAATCATCGGTAAGCACAGCTTCTAAAAGTGATAGCCTATTATCTTATTCTCATTAGATAGTCTGACTGGTTAGCTACGTAGAAGCAGCTTGATCAGTTATTAGCATAATATATGGTCACACAGATCATCTGTTGTCTCTGTTTTGTAGTCCTTGGAGGATTTTTTTCTTTTGCTTTTGTCTATCTAAGTACAGTTTTCGTTATCTATGAAAATGATGCTATTTTTCGTCCTCCTTAGTATCAAAACACAAAAAGGATGCCGTTTTCAGATTATAGTTTTGGAGTTCAAAATTCCCCTTTTGGGTTTGGGGGCATTCTTTAACTTTCAAAGAGGACTTAGACATTCTTCATTGCATGCTGTCTTCTTATCTAACTGGACCTTGACTATTGCGACGATCCATAAAACTTTCACTCCTCTTCCTTCTTGGTTGATGAATAACTGTTATATATGGTTATATTGCGTTGATTTATTATCTTATTATCTAATTAGCATGTGGCTCCGATCCTGCATCTCACAAATCTTTTCCTCCTGTTGAAGGTATAAAATCTATGCAGAAGGCTATGCTTGGTCCGTGAGCTTGAAATATATTGTATCATGTGGTTCTCTTGCATTAATAATAACCCCTCAATATGAGGATTTCTTCAGCCGTGGTCTCATTCCTAGGGTTAACTATTGGCCTATCTCTCCCAATGCTATATGCCCGTCCATAAAGTCTGCTGTTGACTGGGCCCATGGACACCAATCTGAGGTACGTATCGATTGCTAGTTATGCTGTACATTATGTTGTTCTTGTTGTTTCATTGTGTAACACTTTCCATCGTTATGGTACAATTCCGTTCCTTCCCCTCTCCCCCGCTAACCTTATATTTTTCACGAAAAGAACATAATCGTGGCTACAATATTCCCAAATGGCTAAACAGGCTAAGGAAATAGGACAAAGAGGGCAAGATTTTATGGAAAGCCTAAGCATGGACCGGGTCTATGATTACATGTTTCACCTCATCACAGAGTACTCGAAGCTACTGGACTTCAAGCCAGTCCCTCCAGATTCTGCTCTGGAAGTGTGTGCGGAATCCCTGATTTGTCTTGCCGACACGAAACAGAGGCATTTTTTTGAAAAGACAACTGCATACCCTTCTGCTAGCCCCCCATGCACTCTCCAGTCGGCCGATAGTAATCTCATCAAGAGATGGAGGCAGAAAAAGAAGGAAATAATGGAGGCTGTGGAGGATATGAATCCAAAAGAATTGAGACGATTAAACTAGGATGCTGCCATAGTTTTATATAATCATAATTTTATAGAGTTTTTAGTTGGTGGTGATAAATATTTTCATGGAATGAGGAATTCGAACTCGAATACAAGAGAATGGAACACTGCAGACCTACTTCAAGGAAAGACAATTTCGCCGGTTACAAATTGACTTAACCCACGTCTGCCTAAGCTATTGTTTAGTGTCCGAAGAATTTTCTTGGTACGAAATGAAAGTGTTGTTGATTCATGAAATCACCAGTTTATTGCGCAGAGGGTCCCACACCATCCATTTTTCCCGCGAAACGCAAACGAGGAGAAAACGGGTCAGGAAGCTATTAAAATCCACCCACGTGGCAACACACCACTGTTGAGTGGGTCCCAGCAGAAGCAAAAAACCAAGGAGCTCATCCCATTCCCAGGTGACGACCGATTACAAATTTACAAGGCGACAGAAGAAAAGACAATGCAGCACCACCACCACCACTCATCCACAGCCACCTCATCGGACTATGGCTCCAAGAGCCACCGCTCGCTCGCCCTCTTACATCCTTCCATCCGTCGTCGCCTTATCCCTCCTCTCTCTCGTTGTCGTTGTCTACAAGGTTTTTAAACGCCGCATCGTTTTCTGCGTCTTCATTGTTTCTTCTTGTTTCTCAGTCTCAATTCGTTTGGGCATTTTGTCGAACAGGTGGACGACTTCGCCACTCAGACGAAGACATTGGCGGGCCACAACCTTGACCCAACGCCATGGCACCTCTTCCCTCCCAAGACCTTTTCCGACGAGGCCCTTCACGACCGAGCCTACAAGCTCATCCACTGCTCCTACCTCGCTTGCCGCTACAGAAACAACGACATCCCTGAACGGCATCGTCCTCCTTCGTCCAGCGCGAAAGCCCCAAAATGCCCCAATTTCTTCCGATGGATCCACCACGATCTGGAGCCGTGGGCCCGAACCCGGATCTCCGCGGCCCATCTGGAGGCGGCAAAGCAGTACGCTGCGTTTCGTGTGGTGATTGTTGGCGGGAAGCTGTATGTGGATTTGTACTGGGCTTGTGTGCAGAGCCGAGCCATGTTCACCATTTGGGGTTTGCTGCAGCTCCTTGCGAGGTACCCGGATCGGGTTCCGGATGTAGATATCATGTTTGATTGTATGGACAAGCCCATTATTAACCGGACCGAGCATGAATCAATGCCTTTGCCACTTTTCCGGTACTGTACGGATGAAGATCACTTTGATATCCCATTTCCTGATTGGTCTTTCTGGGGTTGGTAAGAATCATCAGTCTTTGATTATTGTCTTCTACATTTATTATTGTTGTCTTTTCAAATTTACAGTTTTTTTATGTGGGTAATTATGCTTGTTTTTTGAGCAAAAAAGATATGCTTGTTTTATACGCATTGCCCTTGACTCAATGGGAAAGAACCTACATTTATGATTTGTTTGTGTATGCTTGAATTGCTATAAGAAATTGTAAATTGGAATATGCTTGGCTCCGATCCTGCATCTCACAAATCTTTTCCTCCTGTTGAAGGTATAAAATCTATGCAGAAGGCTATGCTTGGTCCGTGAGCTTGAAATATATTGTATCATGTGGTTCTCTTGCATTAATAATAACCCCTCAATATGAGGATTTCTTCAGCCGTGGTCTCATTCCTAGGGTTAACTATTGGCCTATCTCTCCCAATGCTATATGCCCGTCCATAAAGTCTGCTGTTGACTGGGCCCATGGACACCAATCTGAGGTACGTATCGATTGCTAGTTATGCTGTACATTATGTTGTTCTTGTTGTTTCATTGTGTAACACTTTCCATCGTTATGGTACAATTCCGTTCCTTCCCCTCTCCCCCGCTAACCTTATATTTTTCACGAAAAGAACATAATCGTGGCTACAATATTCCCAAATGGCTAAACAGGCTAAGGAAATAGGACAAAGAGGGCAAGATTTTATGGAAAGCCTAAGCATGGACCGGGTCTATGATTACATGTTTCACCTCATCACAGAGTACTCGAAGCTACTGGACTTCAAGCCAGTCCCTCCAGATTCTGCTCTGGAAGTGTGTGCGGAATCCCTGATTTGTCTTGCCGACACGAAACAGAGGCATTTTTTTGAAAAGACAACTGCATACCCTTCTGCTAGCCCCCCATGCACTCTCCAGTCGGCCGATAGTAATCTCATCAAGAGATGGAGGCAGAAAAAGAAGGAAATAATGGAGGCTGTGGAGGATATGAATCCAAAAGAATTGAGACGATTAAACTAGGATGCTGCCATAGTTTTATATAATCATAATTTTATAGAGTTTTTAGTTGGTGGGTAGTCTTAGATGACCCCTGAAGTAGGGTTTTCTTCCCCCGTAATTATTTTTTTGCGTGTAAAGAGTATAGCATTGGTGGACAACATTTGGGACTGGAAAAAGACACATACAACAATAAAATACTTTGTGATTATTTTCTTCCCTTGAAAACTATTATTGGTCACCATGTCATTACTTTACTTGAAGGAAAGAAGAAAAGAAGAAAAGAAGATAATAAAGGCCAAACCCACATTTTTTTCGCCATTGTAGTTTGGCAAATCATAACTTTTAACATTTATTTGCTTTTGTTTTTTAAAGAGGCATTCCTATATGCTTGTAAGAAAGAAAGAACACTAATGTAGTAAAATAAGGAAATTATAAATTTAATATTATTTATCAACTAATTCTTAATCTAATTATATTTCTCTTCTTCAATGTCTGAAAGACGTCCCAAATTTAAAAACTAAACACTATTCAATTTTTTACATTACCATGTTAAAACCTATGTTCCATTCAACTGTTTTACTCTCTTTTACAAGTAAAATCTAAGTTCCATTCAACTCTTTTACTCTCTTTTATCATAAAAGTTTTATGAGTAAGAAAACGAAAATTGGAGTTGCCAAAAATAGAGAATGGAAATTTAGACCAAATATTAAGAGCTGGGGTTGGGGATTTATTTAACTAATCAAAACTAGTCCCTAGTCCCTAGCCATTATTTTATCCAATTTCCATTTCCCATATCGTCGTCATCATCATCTTCTTCTTCTTCTTCTTCCCCCTCTCTCTCCACTTACTCTCCACTCTCCACCACCTTCCTTCTTCTTCGCGATCTCACCTTCCCAATTTCCCAAAAATGGCTGACAGCAGCGGCGTCGTCACCGTCTACGGCAAAGGCGCCATATACGAAACCACGACCAAATCCTCCTCATTCTCCGTCAAAGTTGGCCTCGCCCAAATGCTCCGCGGCGGCGTCATCATGGACGTCGTCAACCCCGCGCAGGCCCGCATCGCCGAGGAGGCCGGCGCATGCGCCGTCATGGCCCTTGAGCGCGTCCCCGCTGACATCCGATCGCAGGGTGGCGTTGCCCGAATGTCCGACCCGCAGCTCATCAAGGAGATCAAGCGCTCCGTCACCATCCCCGTCATGGCCAAAGCTCGCATTGGCCACTTCGTCGAGGCCCAAATCCTCGAGGCCATCGGCGTCGACTACGTGGACGAGAGCGAAGTCCTGACCCTCGCCGACGACGAGCACCACATCAACAAGCACAATTTCCGCGTCCCGTTTGTCTGCGGCTGCAGGAACCTCGGCGAGGCGCTTCGCCGGATCCGGGAGGGTGCCGCGATGATCCGGACGAAGGGGGAGGCCGGCACCGGGAACATCGTCGAGGCCGTGAGGCACGTACGGCAAGTGATGGGGGACATCAGGGTTTTGCGGAACATGGACGACGACGAGGTGTTCGCGTACGCGAAGAGAATCGCGGCGCCGTACGATCTCATGATGCAGACGAAGCAGCTCGGGAGGCTGCCGGTGGTGCAGTTCGCCGCCGGTGGCGTGGCAACGCCTGCCGACGCGGCGTTGATGATGCAGTTGGGGTGCGATGGGGTTTTCGTCGGGTCGGGTGTGTTTAAGAGTGGTGACCCGGCCCGGAGGGCTAGGGCTATTGTGCAGGCTTCCACCCATTATAGCGACCCAGATTTGCTGGCTGAGATCAGCTGTGGATTGGGTGAGGCCATGGTTGGGATTAATCTGAACGACGAGAAGGTTGAGAGGTACGCGTTTCGGTCTGACTGAATTTGGTGAGTTGAATTTTGGAGCTTTTGGGTGAAGCCCAAAGGGCTAAAGGCTAAAAGCCCCTCTTTTTTAGAAGAAAATGAACATTGCCCCCATATATACCATTTTTTCATATTGGATTCATTAGCTGTGGTAATTTTACTTTCATGGCTCAAGACTCAAGAGAGTAATTTTACTCTTGGATTTATTGCTGGGTTTTCTTTCTTTCTTTCTTTCTTTCTTTCATAGATGTAGGCAAGGCAACAATATAATTAGAATCACTGTCAATTGGATTCTCAAGTTCTATTTGTCTCAGTTCATTGCAATTTGCAAGATATATTCATCCAATTCTACTATAATGATTAATGGATGGATTTGTTGGAAATTAAAATAAATTTATGAATGAATCATCCCTACTTAAATGTCTTGGTAGGTTCTTACATGCTTGGTTTCATAGAAAATGATCTTAAGCCTTGTGATCGCGGAATTCAGGTTCAAAAGTCTGTGAGTTGTATGGTAATGTAAACTTCTGGTTTGAGAGATTAACCAAAGGAAATACTAGTCACAGGTTTGGCCGGTTTACATCTATGTCCTTGGAGTTCTACATATTTGAGTGTTTGTAGTAGAAAACGGATTTAGCATTTTCATTAGCTTGACCTTTTTTACTCTATTTGTTTTATTATATGTTTTAGTGCGACTGGTGGTAACTCTTTTTGGTCTAACGCAGGTTAACCTCGTATTTGTTTTAATAATCAGATTAGTTTATATTATAGTTTAGATTCGTTGCATACAGAGATTCTAAAACTCACCGTCAAATTTCTGAAGATTGGTTTTAGTGGTGATTTCCCCACTCCAATTTTATCCACTTACACTCCATTTTATAACTAAAAAAGGAGTGTAAGTGGATAAAAAGGGAGTGGGGTAAATGTGCTTCTTATAGTGTTATTGTGCTTTCCGGAGAAGGAAATAGCACATGAATTTTTAATATTCTAGTGTGCTTGCGATTATGAACAAAAGTGCTTTCACACGACTCTCATGGTGTGTTTATTAATCAGGAATTAAATTCCGCTTATGGAGAATTCCTGCGTTTACTTCACATCAAGGAATTGGGGCCCACACAAAATTAGGAATTCAATTCCTGATTTTGGAGGAATTCAATTCTTGAGTGGGAGGTGGTATTCTAATTCCCGGAGAATTCACCCATTAGGAATTCATCTTTTTTACTCATTATATCCTCACACAAATTTCAAAATTCCAAATATGTCATCTACTTTAACCCAACAATCCATATGGTTTAGTAAACAACTTCATTAAGAATCCGGAATCTAATTCTCCTCAATTCAATTCATCCTTAATTCAATTCCTTATAATCCAATTACGGATTAGTAAACATGCCATCAGGAAAAGAAAACTGAGTTTGTGTTTGGGTTTTTTGGAGGCTGCTGATCCAGATCTGTAGTGTTGTTGGGCCTTTGGTGAAAACCCCTCACATTTTTAAATAACGTGGCTGGACCCATATGGAAAACATATATAGCTGGCTTTGTACTTACCAAAATATGCTAATTATCTGTCATTCTGTGTAGCAGGTAGCAGGTAGCAGCATCATTTCGTTATCTCATGTAGGGCTTGATGCAGTCTGTCCCCTTCAGTCTGTTAGGTGAAAAAATGTTTGATTAATTTCAAGTGGGTTGGCTTTGGGTTGGGTTCCGGGGCTTTTGGGGGAATCTACCATATAACCAGTGATTAGAGAGATAGACGCATGTATGTATACATAACTTGTAAAACCGAAGACTTTCATTTCGAGAGAACTGAGGACTTAAGACGCATCACGCATGTATTACCAACTAATTACCTCTGAAGATTATTGTAATTAATGGAACAAATTCTTTAGTGCTACTATAAGGGGCTTCCAGTAGCATGTTTATAGTTTTGCCCATTTCCGATTAGCCTTAATTTTGTCATAATTAGCTCAGAGACACCAACCTTAATTTTAATACTCTTTTCCTTTTGTTAATCGAAGTCAAAGATAATGTTAGTTCATACTTACTACATAGCTGATGTAACCACATGGGACGAGCCGGATGTACCCTTGGCCTTGGGTGGTCAATCTTTTAATTTGGTCTTTGTTTATTGCATGGCTCAGTCCCTGGTCTTCTATAATCACTCCATTAAAAGAAACCCACGTGTCCCTTCATAAACCTTATTTTTCTTTAAATTATAAATATAAAAATTTTATATAAAAAAAAAAGCAGAAGAAGAAGAAGAAAGGAGGTTATTGTCGGTCTGTCCCTACATTATAAAATCACTATCTTTCATTTGTTTTTCTGAGGGACATCATTGACTTCTTTCTTAGCTTCTAATTGTGCTTAGACTTAACTGCGGATTACTCTCGCATCGCATGTGTACAGACGATTGTGAAATGTTGATATGGTGAGACAATGCATGAGACTATTACAACAATAAAACTAGACATGAAAAAGACTTGCACGTGTGGGGCGTCGATCACTGTAAACTTTGTCTAAATTATATCTTCAAATTACCTTTTTTGAGTTACAACGATATTCTATTTTAAAGGAAGTTTCGATCCCAGACCAGCTGGGTGATAAGGGGGAGCGCAAACTACTTAGGCCACTCCACGTCCTTTATATCTTCAAATTACTTGGGCGTGAGTGATTGTGAAAAAATACTTATTCTCGTTCACGCACGACTGGCGTTAGAGAATATATTCCAACCTAGTGGGAGAGGTGCAACAATACAACAATACAGTCATACATCAAAGTCATCGCAATTTAACAACTTTAATGCAAAGAAAAATAAGGCGCCAAACAAGAACGGCATGAAAAGACTGTCGTCTATAACTTGATCAAACACAGTCCCTTAATTACATTCCTAAAACCTCTCTCTCTCTCTCTCTCTCTCTCTCTCTCCGTTCTGTCTGCCATTTCTAAAAAGCTCTGATTTTCGTTGTGTGTAAATTATTATTTCATTAAGATAGATGGGGAGTTATAGGATGTGCTTATGCTTCACAAGGAAGTTCAGGGTGACGGAGGCAGAGCCGCCGTCGGACGTCAAGGAGGCATTCAACAAGTACGCGGAGGACGGGACCCACATGACAGCCGAACAGCTGCAGCATTTCTTGGTGGAGCTTCAGGCGGACGGCACGTCCGCGTCAGAAGCCGAGCGGATCGTGGAGCAGGTACTGCAGAAGAGGCACAACATTGCCAAGTTGATCACCAGGCGCACTCTTCTCACCCTCGACGACTTTCACCATTACTTGTTCTCTCCCGAGCTCAATCCACCTATTCGAGCTCAGGTAGTAGCTAGCTCTTCTGTAATTAATTCACTTTTTTTGTTTACTAATTGGGTTTCCTTTTCTGGGTATTGTTTGTTTCCCGGGAAAGTATAGGAAACTTCAAGACTGTCACCAAGCCAATCGATTGTTCTATTTGTCTTCGAATCATTTGATTATTACATCATTTCTTATTGTTTTTAATTTTTCTCTTTGCTAATTGACGCCAAAGATAATGTTTAGTTTATAAAACCAGGTGGAACGGGCCAGACGTACCTTTGGGTGGTCTTTACTCACTCTGGTGTTTCTTTATTGCATGGCTCAGTAAAAGAAAACCAACGTGCATCTCGTGATAAATTTTCTTTAATTAAAAAAATAGAAGAAGTCTTTGACCTCCTGTCCTGTCTCTACATTATCAAATCTCTATCTTTTCTCATGGACAGATTAACTTATTTCTTGACTTTTTATTGGGTCTACGCATCGCTGTGGGTCATGACTCAAATGTGAACGAATGTGAATCGTTGATAAAAATATTTATACATTGATCGAGACTAAATCTGATTAATACAATCAGACGGAAACAATTGTGAACAGGTGATTCAATTAATTTCGTGGCTCAAGAGTTGTTAATAGTTCGCATTATTCCTCCATGGAGAAAGTTCCCATTAAACAACCATCAACATCAATCAAAATTAATACGCGATGATTTAAAAAGGCCAAAAAAAAGGATAAATAAAACCAAAAAGGCGCCAAACAAAACGGCAAATTTTTCCATAAATAAAGAATATAAAAAGGCTGTCGTCTGTCTAACTTCATCTGACGATCACAATTCCATAAATAAAGAATATAAAAAGGCTGTCGTCTGTCTAACTTCATCTGACGATCACAATTCCATAAATAAAGAATATAAACCCCCCAAAGCTCAACCCCTTTACATTCCTAAACCTCTCTCTCTGTTCTGTCTGCCATTTCTCAAAAGCTCTGATTTTTGTTGTGTAAATTATTGGTTAAGGTCGATGGGGAGTTACAGGATGTGCATGTGCTTCACGAGGAAGTTCAGGGTGACGGAGGCAGAGCCACCGCGGGACGTCAAGGAGGCATTCAACAAGTACGCCGAGGGAGGGACCCACATGACAGCAGAGCAGCTGCAGCGTTTCTTGCTGGAATTTCAGGCAGACGGCGGCGTAGGCGGCGGCGCGGCGGAGTCCGACGCCGAGCGGATCGTGGAGCAGGTGCTGCAGAAGAGGCACCACATTGCCAAGTTGATCAGCAGGCGCACTCTCACCCTCGACGACTTCCACCATTACTTGTTCTCTCCCGATCTCAACCCTCCCATTCGAGATCAGGTATTGGGTTTTTCTTTTCTGGGTTTTGTTTGTTCCCCGATAAAGTATAGGAAACTGCAAGAATGTAAATATTGAAACTCCGTCAGCTCATAGCTAGCTTGAGTGGAAGAATCTTCCTTGCGGACAAATTCCAGTTTGACACGTGTGCAACATGCTACTAGAGAATTGTCATAGATAGCTCATAATCTAGCAATGCTCATCAGCATATCAAATATCTTGACATTTAAATTCTTGGGCTAGGTTACTTGAATTCATTAGCAAATTTGTGGCCCTGTTTTATTGATCATGAATTCATTAAAGAAGTGTTTTCTTTAATGAACAAGTGCATTTTTGTATTTCTTCTATTTTGGTTGAGACAATTTGTAAATTTCTGCTTTTGTTATTTTGTTTCAGGTTCATCAGGATATGACAGCTCCATTGTCCCATTATTACATATATACTGGTCATAATTCATACCTGACTGGAAATCAGCTCAGCAGCGACTGCAGTGATGTTCCAATCATAAAGGCACTCAAGAGAGGTGTAAGAGTGGTGGAGCTTGATATTTGGCCAAATTCCACAAAGGACAATGTGCATGTTCTTCATGGAAGGTAACTCTAATTATCTCCAATCTAATGGTACCTCGTCGGACTTCAAAGTGAAATCGTCTTAATGATCATGAGTTTCATTGAATATATTTAAGCCTGTGTATCCTAAGCAAGCTTGAAGATAGGCAACTCTGTTTTAAAGCATTCTATTTTCAGCCTGGATACTTTTTGTTGCTGTTCTTAGTTGATATTTCTATAAAAGCCTAGTGTTCCAACTCATGGGATTGATATTCAAAGTGTGTATTTGTGAATCTAGGACTTTGACAACCCCTGTGGAGCTTAGTAAATGCTTGAAATCAATTCAAGAGCATGCATTTTCTGAATCTCCATACCCTGTCATCATAACTCTTGAAGACCATCTTACTCCTGCTCTCCAAGCTAAAGTAGCACAGGTGATTTTCTTTTCTGTTTTTTTTATCTGTGAGTAATAAATCATGTTCTTACTATAATTACTGTTTAAAATTTGCAAATTTCTTCATTTCCAGATGCTCATTCAGACATTTGGTGAGATGTTGTTTTACCCGGAATCTGATTGTTTGAAAGAGTTACCGTCACCGGAAGAACTTAAGTATCGAATTATTATTTCTACCAAACCTCCTGAGGAGTACCGCAAGGCTAAAACTTCCAATGAAAAGGAACATGACTCACATAAGAGTGAGGAAGACTTATGGGGGAAAGAACCCTCAGAGCTTACAGAAGAACACGAAGATGATGACACGGTGTGTTTTGAGAAAAGAATATTTACTGCTAGCATCACTTATGCTTGATGTCCGGCCCTTGGGTGATTAAATTTTTCTCTATTGTCTTGCAGAGTGACAGTGATTCAAGTGAGGATAACAGTCACAGTAATCGTGGATCGTTCTCATCAGGAGAACATGAATACAAACGTCTAATTACAATCCATGCTGGGAAACCCAAGGGTGGTCTAAAGGAGGCACTAAAAGTTGAACTTGATAAAGTTAGACGCCTTAGCTTGAGTGAACAAGCACTTGAAAAGGCTGCTGAATCTCATGGAACAGATGTTGTTAGGTACGTTTTGTTTTCTTAGCACAATGAGGTGCCAAATGATTCCCTCATGTGATGAATTCAATTGTGAAATCTTCTTTTACTTGGTATTTGATCTATGTTATCCAACTGAACAACTATAAACTGTAACAATGTTATTCATAGATTTACCCAGAAGAACATTTTAAGGGTGTACCCAAAAGGTACTCGGTTCAACTCCTCCAACTACAAGCCACTTATTGGTTGGATGCATGGTGCTCAAATGGTTGCATTCAATATGCAGGTTGTTTAAAGTTCTTTCCTTTCTGTCCCGAAAAAAAGTTATTTTCTTTTTCTTATATCCTTCTCCTGTTTTGATTGTATTTTTTCTTCCCTGTTACCAAGATAATGCTTTGCAATGTTATTTCAAGATAAGGAAACTGGTAGCATTTTTGAGACAGAAAATGAACATTTCTCTGGTCCAATGGCAGGGATATGGTAGATCTCTTTGGCTGATGCATGGGATGTTTAGAGCCAATGGGGGTTGTGGTTATGTGAAAAAGCCTGATTTTATTATGAACGAGTCAGATAATCAGATCTTTGATCCTAAGGCAAAATTGCCAGTAAAAAAGACTTTAAAGGTGAGCACATTTTCTGTTCCTTTTCTCTGGATGTAAAGTTGTAAGTACGTTGATTGTCAAGACTGTTTTTATACCCTCTCGTTTAAAAGATTCTTAAACTAATTATGTTTCTTGACAGGTGAAAGTATATATGGGAGATGGATGGCATTTGGATTTCAAACAAACACACTTCGATTTATATTCCCCACCAGATTTCTACACTAGGGTAAGATGGTCTGTGTTTTATTTTCAAATGATTACCTTGGTCAGTCTACTGGTAAACCAAATAATGTATGCTTTTTAAGTGCTTGATTAATAATAATGCAGTGATGCACACTTCTTAGTGCTTCTATTTACCATTTAATCTGTGAGGCAGGTTGGCATAGCAGGAGTTCCAGCTGATGAAATAATGAAGAAAACTAAGAAAAAGGAGGACGATTGGACACCAGTCTGGGAGGAAGAGTTTACATTTCCATTGAGGGTTCCTGAATTGGCTTTGCTTCGAGTTGAGGTACATGAGTATGACATGTCTGAGAAGGATGACTTTGGTGGCCAAACCTGTTTGCCAGTGTCTGAATTGAGACAAGGGATTCGTGCAGTCCCTCTCTTTGACCGTAAAGGAACGAAATACAACTCAGTAAGGCTTCTAATGCAATTTGAGTTCATCTGAGCATTTGGTTATGCTCATCGAATTGTCCTCGGTTCATTTTTATTCTGTTGCCCCCTGTAGTTCTGCAATAAGTTCTGTTTATTTTGCTCATTGTAAAAGATTGTTTGGTACTCTCTCTCCCTCTCTTTTTTTTTTTTCTTTTTGGAAGTGGATGATCTATAGAAGCATATAATGACAGCCTTTTTTTCCCCTTTTCCTTTTTCCCTTTTTCTTTTTCTCAATTATGTTTTAAGGGACAATTCCATCTTTGGTATAACTCAATAAAGGCACCGTTCAACCTGCAGATCAAATGGACAAAATCTACTAGAGTTTAGGTGAAACTCAACTTTCAACCTGGCTGTCAAACTTTTCCTTCTCCAACCCCACAATAGCAGTAGCAACATTGTCCAGATTGAAGAAATTAACAACTCAACTTTCAATCACATAGCTCAAGTACAGGCCGGTAATAACGTGTCATGTAATTCAGTAAAAGAAAATTTACTTTCCATGGCATAGATATGTTTTGGTTACAGAGTCTGGTTAATGATCTAAAAAGAAAGCAAGGGTATATTTTGTTCGAGGCCTCCTGATGTAAAGATCTTTTTAGGCAATTTGCACCGACAAAAGAGAATGTACAGACGAGAAAGCCAGGTATGAGAGAAGCATTCTCTTTATTTGTGGACAAAGAAAAAGTTGGTTTGAGATACGAATTGCCATATGATACTAACAATAGCGTGTATATATGACATTAATTACATAAAGAGTAGGGAATGTGGAGTGTCGTCAATTTAAAGTTTTGCATGAGCACAGATTCTGACTTTGCTGCAAAGCCAGGCCTAAGAATTTCAAGCAAATTATTAGTTCTTGTCAGGAAATTCCAAATGCTTGTCAGCCGTTGATGTATGCGAGTTCCACGGTAAGTCTCTTCATGCACAAAAGGCTGTGATGTACTTAATGAAATTCGTCCTTTCTCTCTTCATATAAACAGAATCTAGAGAAACTATTGGCATCATCACAAGCTGCCAGTCTCAAAAATGTCCAATAAGCAGTCTTTCACGGTCTGCTTCTGCTTCAAGAGAATATTTAGGCTCAAGGTGGCTGAGCCTCCTGAAGATATAAAGAACCTGTTTAATCAGTACGCCGAAAATGGCACCATAACGATCGATAACCTTCAGAATTTTCTGATTGAGTTTCAAGGAGAACCCAATGCCACCAAGGAGGATGCTCAGACCATTTTCAACAGTCTCAGGCATCTCAACATCTTTCAAAGAAAGGGTCTCCATCTCGATGCCTTCTTTCGGTATCTCCTTGGTGACCTTAATCCTCCTTTCTATTCAAAGGTAATTTCATCAAACTTTGTATTGTTTCAATTTCATATATTGAGTAAAGCATTCACTGTTCAGAGTGATGAAACTTTCTAACTTATTTATACATTTAAGGAACATGCAAACTATGAAGATGATTGAAAAAAATATATTAGTTTGCAGTTTCTGCATTAGTTTATGCATCTTAATGATCCAAAAATTGAGAACAGCTGTGTTTGGATTCAGGTGCACCATGACATGAATGCGCCATTGGCTCATTATTTTCTATTTACCGGCCACAACTCCTACTTAACAGGAAATCAAGTCAGCAGTGACAGCAGTGTCCACCCAATTATAAACGCACTGCTACAAGGCGTTAGAGTTATCGAATTAGATTTGTGGCCGAATTCTAAGAAAAATGGCGTGGAGGTTCGTCACGGAGGGTATGAATTTAATTTGTGGTTGCTCTCAAACTCTATTATGAACATGGTCTTGGTTGGAAAACTATTAATTCTCAGTCCAAGCTAGTTAGTCATATTTGCATAACAAAATTTGATCTCTTTGAACCTTTAGGACTCTTACTAGTCCAGTGGAACTCATCAAATGTTTGCGGGCTATAAAGGATCATGCTTTTACTGCTTCTGAATACCCTGTTGTCATAACATTTGAAGACCACCTACCTTCAAGTCTTCAAGCTAAAGTGGCCAAGGTGAATAGGAATTCATACCTTAATTAGGCTTCCCATCTTATGATTCTTTTTTATGCACCACTTCAATTGTGATTTGAACTTCTTTTTTTTTTAAATGTGATTGTAGATGGTCACAGAAACATTTGGACACATGCTATACAGCCCTCATTCAGAATTCATAATGGAATTCCCTTCACCTGACTCATTGAAGAGAAGGATTCTGATTTCGACCAAGCCACCGGAGTATCATGAATCTCAGAGACCAAGGGAATCGGGAGCCACTGATAACAAGGTATTAAGGTGCATGTGAACACTAGTGTACATTGTGCTAACGCATTTGCTCAGTGAACCAAGAATCATGTACCCTTTTAATATATCATTACACACTTGAAAGCAGGACAATGAACAAGATGATCAAGATGAAGATGAGGAGAACGCCATTCCAGAATATAAGCAGTTAATTGCAATTCATGCAGGGAAGCCGAAAGGTGGGCTTGATATATGGCATATCGATCCAATTAAGGTCCGGCGTCTTAGCTTGAGTGAGCAAGAACTGGAAAATGAAACCAGAACCCGTGGATCCGATATTGTCAGGTGACATTACACTGGTTTTCATGTTAACTACTCTTAAATTCTTAATGTTCTTCACCATCTAAATGATCAATTGTGCTTAAATTAATCTTTCTCTAGGTTTACACAAAGAAATTTGTTAAGGATATATCCTAAGGGTGCACGTTTAGACTCATCAAATTATGATCCCATGCTTGGATGGACCCATGGAGCTCAAATGGTGGCATTCAATATGCAAGTTAGGCTTCTTTTGTAACTTTTAGCTAACTTTTTAAATAACTAGCTTATAGTTGTTTGCTGGGAGTTCTGCTTTTACTTCACCTCAATTCCTGCTTATCTTACAATAGTGAATTTCTTCTCAAAGGGACATGGAAAGTACCTTTGGATCATGGATGGAATGTTCAGAGCCAATGGAGGCTGTGGTTATGTGAAAAAACCTGGTTTTTTACTGGCCCTTGGCCCAAATAATGAGGCTTTTGATCCTAATGAACCCTTACCAGTGAAGACAAATTTGAAGGTGCTTTGAATCTCTGATCAAACTTGTAACATGCCACTTTCTCTTATTATTTTCAAATATATATGTATATACATGAACTTTCTACATAACCTTCTTGTTCACAAGCAGGTAAAAGTATACATGGGAGAAGGCTGGCATTCAGATTTCCACCACACACATTTTGATCTTTATTCTCCTCCGGACTTTTATGTGAGGGTATGTTACCAAAATGTTCATTCAAATATACATCCCCTGTAAATGTTCTCTTGTCAGACAGATACTCTGACATATTATGTTGTTTGCATAATAATCTGAACGTAATTCTACATTTGTACCTAGTAAGAGAACTTTACCGGTATATGTAACATAGTAAAATGTTCTCGTGTCACAGACAGTCTGACATGGTATGTTGTCAAAGCAACAATCTAGACAACTGACTAATATATTTTTGTTTGAACGCACATATGGTATGGTTCAGATTAACAGTCTGGTAAGAGAAAGCTTAATTTGGTGTGTTTGTAGGTTGGAATTGCTGGAGTGCCAAATGATACAAAAATGATGGAAACCCAGCCAATTGAGGACCAGTGGGTACCAGTATGGAACAAGGAGTTCATTTTCCCGTTGAGCGTTCCAGAACTGGCTGTGCTTCGAGTTGAAGTCAAAGAATATGACACTTCTGGGAAACATGACTTTGGTGGCCAAACATGTCTCCCAATTCCAGAGCTCAGAACTGGGATCCGAGCTGTTCCTCTGCATAATAGAAGAGGCCAAAAATATAAATCCGTGAGGCTTCTGATGGGATTTGAATTTGACAATGCTGAATAAATTAATAAGTATTGCTTTGCTTTCTCATGCTCTGCCTCTCCTGTAATCCATGTTCAATATTATGCTAAACTTCCATCTGCTGCTAATACACAACAAATTCTTTTAATCGTAGCCACATGTGTGAGAATCTTCGAATTCCAAACATGAGAATAAGTTTTTTTAATTATTTGGATTTGGCATATCTTCCAACAATGGAAAGAAATAGATAAAGAGCTAGTTGATCAAATACGGAGTGCAATTTTTTTCGTCGTCATTAATGGTGCATTATTTATTGATGCTCTATAAGTGTCATATGTCACATATATTAGGGTGCTTATTTTTCCACTCCTCTTTTGTCTACTTACACTCTTTTATGTGTTTTTAATAAGTTTTACTATAACATACAATTTCCAATAAGGGAGTGTAAGTGGACGAAAGAGGAGTGAGAAAATCAACTCCCGATATATTATTCACGGCTAACTTTATTTAACAAGTACAATCATATATGTTACTTTTAATAGATCATACGAGTGATGTTAAGAATAATCTCCTATACATAAGTCAACGCATTGTGAGATTCGCGTGCATCGACAGTATGTGCTAAAAATTGTGCCTATGGCCTATGGTAAATAGTAACATTGAACCTGTCTTTTTTTTTATTCAAAGAGGGAGGGTGGACAATTATTAACCTTTGACATCCTCATGTGTCTCTTAATTTTTATGTAATTAAGCCACCTAATACAATTTAATAAAACAATAATTTGAATGTCCAAGTCTTGATCACATTGGTAATAGGTTATTGTTTCCAATTGCTTCACATAATTAATTAACCAAAAGTTAAGCCTATTTTATAATCCCACGTTCATCATTTCATCAGCACCCAGCTGTTGTACAGCCTGTGTTCAAACGGTGCGGCGGCCGCAGACTCCGCGTTTTACAACTAGTGTGTGTGACTCACTAGTCTTTTTTCTTTTTTTCTTTTTCCTTTGGGGTCAACTTGGGTATTCAAAACTCAAAAGCCAATATTTCCTAATTGCTTTTTGTTAAAAAAAAACAAAATGATTTCAAACAGCTAAGTACAAAATTAAAATTTGCATATTTTAAAAGCCATACATTTGTTTTTCTCAGAAAATTGTTATCGGAGTGCCATTAAAAGATTTTATTTATTTATTTATTTATAAACAATAGAATATTAATATTTGTAAGACTATTTTTACAACATGATAGCACGCATATCAAAATTAAACCTTCACAACCGATCAAGGCATCAAATCATGCATATATATCAATCTTACATTCACGTAAATCAAATTTAAAACATCCTCCGACAAAGTGAAAAACAACAATATGATTGTTGAGACAAGGAGGCAACCACTGGTACCCTTTATATGATTCTCTGTGGAAGCTAATTATAACATTAATTTTCTAAAACAACATCGTGTGGAAAATGGTTTACCTGGCTAAAGTAACTAGAATTCCAAAAAATGTACACTAAGGTGATCAAAGATCCCACTATATAGGAATAGGATAATGCTTTTGATTGGAATCACTAATAAAATCTTCATGCCCCACTGCCTCCCAGACCAGCCAACATTCAGGAGGCAAAAGATGAGAGATACCATACACCTCAACCAAGAAGATAGGGCCATCATGTCAAGTGACCAGACCACTGGCCTATTGTGTACGTTAAAGTTAGCAATAACTTTACAGTGGACGGTCGTATACGCCCCTTTTTTTACAATTATTCATCACGTGTTACTCATATGATGAGATGATTGTGAGAGAAAAGTGTATATGCCTTATCCATTAAAGAATTTCTTGTGAATTAGACCACTTTTATGGCATTCCTTAATCTTTACCATAGCAAAAATCGTGAAACTAAGAATCATGTATAAGCCGAAATGGTGAAGAAATAAAATTTGGTATAGAATTAATAAGGAAAAATAAATAAATGAATACTGTTTTTGGATGAAATTTCACAGTGAAGGGAGGGAAATTGTGGTGGTAGAGAAGCTAAAACGTTCATCCTCACAAAGAGCAAGTGCCCTTTCCAAATTGGCAACAATGTCAGTCATACTAGGCCTTTCCTTCCCCTCCAAGTTCACACAATGCCTGGCAGTATAAGCCACCAGCTCAACTGCTTCAGCTTCATTCGGATCTGGCGGCACCACCCTTTGATCCAAAATGCTTTGCAGCTCCCCCGCCATCATCCGCGGCCTGGCGTACTCCACAACCCCCATTGGACCTGTTCCCTCTTCACTGAGTCTGAACACAGCCCTCTTACCTGTCAAAAGCTCCAATAACACCACCCCAAAGCCATAGACATCACTCTTTGCTGTCAAAACATTTGATACAAAGTACTCAGGATCAATGTAGCCAACTGTTCCAACCGCCTTCGATGACACGATCTCTTGGTCAGATTCCGGTCCCAGTAATGACAGTCCAAAATCAGATACTCTTGCAAGCCAATTTTCATCCAAAAGAATGTTTGAGGACTTAATGTCCCTGTGAATTATTGTTGGCACTGCATAATTGTGCAGATACTCAATTCCCCTGGCTGCATCCAAAGCAATTTTTATCCTCATTCTCCAAGAATTCACAATGCTGCTACTTCTCTCAACATTTTTCTTGTTATGCAAGTGATCATGAAGTGAACCGTTGCACATGTACTCGTAAACCAAAAGTCTCTCATCCTTCTCTTCACAGGATCCCACTAGCTTCACTAAGTGCTTGTGGTGAAGCCGGGACAGCAATGCTAATTCGGAATCAAATGCGCTCTCTTTCTCCTGAAATTTATTGGTCTTGGTACTAGTGTCTCCCCTCTTGATGGCCACTTCACGACCATCCGAGAGCTTGCCTTTATAGACAGTACCAAAGCTCCCAGCACCAATCTTGTTTTCTGATGAGAAGTGCTTGGTAGCAGCGGAAAGCTCTGCTAGGTGAAATGACTCAGTCTTGTCTCCATGCTTTGATGATGAGCCGCTTATATAGCCCTTGATGGAACTTGATCTTGAAGGTGGAGCATTAGGATCATTTTCAATCCCAACTGCAGAACCTGCATTGGGGGCAACAGCACTTGTGGGTTGCACAGAATCATGATGGTTAAACCAAGAACCACATTTTCTAGTCCATAGGCAAAAGATAATAGTGCAGAGCCCTGCAAAAGCCCCAACGGATCCAACTATTGCAAACGCCAACAAAAGCCTATTTCTGGTTATGGATGATGAAGAAGCCGGTGATGAACCTTGTGGTGGCGGCGGATTTATTGGGGGCAACGGCACTGCAATTGGAAGTTCAATCTGGCATGATTTGCAGATTTTCCCAGAACCACTGCAAAGAGTCTCCGAATTCGGGTACACACCACAGCTACTGCATGGACCTTGTACACATGGACCAGGAACAATCATTCCTAGTGGAAGATCATTCTGAGAACTAGACCAGCCTGGTCCCCAACAAATCATTGATAAATTACTTGTTGTTAAGCCGCAAAGAAAATCCAAACCTGCATCAATCAACTCAAATGAAACATTTGCAATAGCATCACTGTGATATTCAAATCTGTTTCTTCCTCCCCAGCATACAACAAAGCCACTTCTTCGACGAATGGCACAAGTAAAATTTGATCCCAATGCAAGGCCTGAAAACTCAAAAGCTGAAGTACTTGAAGGTACATTCAATTGCCCGGAATCGTTGTTCCCTTTACAGACCAAAGCTCCATTCACACTAAACCCACAAGCATGAGACTCTCCAACAACTAGGCTTGACATCAACACATTCTCAAACCCTGTTTGAATCTCAGCTCCAACACTACTCTGACCCCAACACAGAACTCTGCTACCATTCACCAAAATCCCACATGTAAACCCCTTTCCAGATGTGATTGTATGAAAGTCCAATGCTTCCCCAGGTGAGGGAAACAAAGACCCTCTTGTGCCATCTCCTCCTCTCCAGCACCTGACAATTCTAGAGTTGACCTCTCTGGCACAAACTTGGGCATCACCTACAGCCAGATGAGTCAAGGCTATTGTGTCACTGTGATATATGCGTTTAGGTTGGAACCTACTTGAGCTAGATAAGCTGGTGTCCCAACAGAGAAGGCTAAAGCCACCAGACCTGAGGCCACAGAAGAAGGTCTTGCCCCCAGAGATGGCTTCAAAAGAAACAATGGGCTGGACTGAAATGGTCTGAATGTTTTGGTAGCATTGTATGCTCTGTGTAGGGTTGTCTGCCACAATGCCACAAACAGTGGAAGTGCCATATGTGATGGCTGTGGTAGAAGCTAAGCCAAGGCCATGGACCACCCTATCATGCGGTGTCAGTGAAGATACGAAGGCTGTGAAGATGATGGTGATAATGAGAGAAGATGGTGGATGTACAAGTGTCATTTATGAAGATTTGGGTAATGGGTAAGTGGAGGTTTCTGGTTTTTTTTTCTTCATTGGGAGAGAGAGGGAGAGAGAGGAGCATTTGGGTTAGGGAAGAAGGTGACAATGCTAGAAATGAGAGAGAATATAATAAGCAGGCTGTGGAGCATGTGGTCCCTTTAGATTGGTTATGTTGTTGCCTATCTAGCAGAAGAGGAAACATCCCTCAGAGTCAGGAGAATTAAAATTTCTTCACTGTACTGCATGTGCCATAGATCACTGATTTTAGGCCAAGTGAAAAAAAACTATCGGACTGTTTGAGAAGAGAACATAATCTTGTACGATTTTAGCAAATATAATTATAAGAAAAAATATGAAATGTTTTACTGAGGCATGAAAGAGTTTAAGGTAAGCTAAATTGGAATTGCTTGTTGTTGAAAGTGTCTTGCACAAAATTTCTTAATAAACAATCAGCTAGTTTTGGTCTCTAATAGTGGTTCGAGTAGGACAAAATTAAGCCTGAGCTTTGTTGTTAGAATATTGAGAGATGGAGATGCAATGGATAAACCTAAACTTACTTTGTTATCAGCTACTTTGGTCACTTCCAATCTTAACTTGGTGAAGGCTTTTGGGAGAGTAACAACGATAATTGGTGTACTGTTTAAGGGTTAAGTTTCTTCCTCTTTTTCTTCTCTGTTTTTTTTCTTAATAGATGAGAGAAGAATAATTCATCACAAAATTGAACTATGAAAGCAACCCTTAACCTTCCAGCACTACTATATGCTTTTAAGGGAGACTAAAATGCCACTAAATTTAAAGGCTGTTGACAACTAGGTTTGATGATGAAGGTTTTTTTTATTTAAAATCGGTTTTATTCGGTTTTTTCTTTTCTTTTTTTAATCGAAAGGAAAGAACTTCATTCAACTGAAACCAGTTACAAATAGTAATGAAAAGGATGCAAAAATATAAATGCTTCTTTTACGTAAACTCACGAGGACTATAGGAAGATGGTTTTTCATAATTGAGCCAAAGCTCCATCATGATCTAGAAGAAAAATATTGCATGTCAATCACCTCATCAAATTCCTGACTTTATAGGGCAAACTTGTTTCTGAAGTTCCTCCGTATAATCGTCGCTTTAACTTAAAACCCTAAAATGAGAAGAAAAGTCATGCAACTTCCGATCTCAAAATATACTTCTTCGGCACACTCAATTTTGTTCTTGCTATAATTAATTATGTATATACTAAAAGTACCAAAATATTCATCTTAGTTCAGCAAATTGGCAAACTACTGGATAAGAAAACCCAAAACCCAACAGGCTTGAAATACGAAGGGGAATTACTTGGGCTGTTATTACAGTAAATGTATACCAACTACAAAAAATAAAAACGAATTAACCTACGTACCAACCAGAAACATGGAGTTACCAACATCCCGGAATTCACCTTAATTAAGAACCCATCTTTTTCCATCATTTTCTTCTCCTTCTGTATATTCTTGTGGGGATAGGGGCAGGTTTGTAGTTGTGCTGTCAACTGAATTCTACTGATTCAAGATCCCCTCCATACAAGCTAAAAGGGCCCCAGTGGGTCTTTTCCATCTGCATCCATAGGGTTATCATAACTTTCGTATTCGTAATCTTGATCGAGAGCCTCCATAGTTTTCCCAAAAACAAATGACTTTGTCCCCATTGTCGTGAAAGGCATTAAACCAAAAGCTCGAGCTGTTTTGATTTCCCTAGCGACCTTCCTCTGGGCCTTGGCGCTGATCCCAGTCTACACAAGGAACAAGGGAACTTAAAAGTATTTCAATGCAGCTTCAACAAAGTTCAGGTCATTCAGCATGCATTCAATTTTACCTTGCTTCTTTTGATGAGAATTCCAGCATCTGTTAAGAAATTTGCCAGGAATCTCACATTCTGCACAGAGCAATACAGTTGGTGCAAGAATGCATCCAAAGGATCAAAAATCAAAAGCATAAACAACAAAATTTGACATTTAAAATTGGGATTCAGAGACGTAATAAGATAAGCAAGCACACTAGTAAAACCAGCGAAACAAGATAAAGGATTTCAGGTCTCAACGGACGCAAGGGACAAAAAAGGACAGCTAAACCAACATTTCAATGTCTAGTAGCAGAAGAGAGAGTAATAATGAAATCACAACAACCTGCCCAGAGTTTTTAACTTAAGTTTTCTAATAATCAAAATTAGTTGCAATTGATGAATTCAATGAAGAATATAAAATATTCTGAAAATTAACTAAGAAAACCTAAGGGCCCGTTTGATAACCATTTCAATTTTTGTTTTTAGTTTTCATTTTTTGTGCTAGAGTATAGAGGAAAAAGAGGGAAAATGGAAGTGAGAATGAGAGGGAAGATGAGAGGGAAGGATGGGAGGGAGGAGTAACAAAAGTGAAAAACAAAAACTAAAAACTGAAATCTATTTGAAATTGTTTTCACTTTCAAGTTTTTTTTTCACTTTTGTTACTCCTCCCTCCCATCCTCCCCTCTCATCCTCTCTCAATCTCATCCCAACTCCCATTCTCACTCTCATTTTCCTCTATACTCTAGCACAAAAAATGAAAACTAAAACTTAAAATTGAAATGGTTGTCAAACAGGCCTTAAGGCAATCAAGTGCAATAACCTGCCAATATGCAGCTCATTCACAACCACTGAGCCAGCAAGCTCCAAATATCATAATATCTAGATCTTTAATTCTGAAACTGAGTCTCAATCAAGATAGACTATCCCTTAAAAAAAAACAATTGGATAAATCTACTTTGCTTAATTTTAGTCCTCAGCTTCTATTTATGCGTATCAGGGAAAAGAGGTATAGGGGCATCAACAATAAAAACAATCCTTTACATTTCACCAAACAGGCAAACATATACAAAGCAACAAGGATCCTACATGCATATATTGGAGAGACTGACAAGTGCACATACCCTGAAATCAGCTTTTCTAAGAACTTCCTTTGTAGTTACTTCAAACTCATCCCTTTGGGTAAACTTACGCACTCCTGGCTTAGTAAGATCAAGATCCTGCATAGGGCCACATGGTGCGTACATGAGATATCAAAAGACAAACGAGGCATAAAGAGAACAACACTGGCAAAATATTATGGTTCAGTGGTAAGGCAGGACAGGCTAACTTGTATTCTTTTTCCACTCAGGACAAACAAATCTCAAATGCAGGTTATACATTTATAACACCACAAAATATGTGCAAGCTGTAATTATAACAATAACATAAAAGTGAAAAGGCAGAAAAGAAAGGGAAGTTGCTCCATAACATACTTTAAGGTCATAAGTCATTCCTAGCTCAAAATTCACATCTGGTCTGTAAGAATATTCCTCTTGGTTTATTTCCTCGTAATCAATATCAAAGTCGGTGGCTGCTTTCTCTAATTTTCCATCCATTCCATCTGATAATGTGTTAAAACTTTCATCTAAGCCGTCGAGTATATGAGAACCACTTCCACTTCCACCTCCTCCAGAAGGATTCAAACCCTGTCCATCACGACCCATCCCGAGCCTATCAAGCTTCGTGAAAAAGGCATCTGATCTAAAATTACCCCCAGAAGTTTCACCGAAAATACGCCGCTCAAACTCATCCGGAGATTCAAATGAATTAGGATTGTTCTTATCATCCACTTCACCGCCTAACACAGAAAAAAGCTAATGTGTCAAGCTTTTATTTGTAGTTAGATTGAGTAATTCTTGGAATAGAGAAGCTATATTACAAGAAAAAACAAACCAAATCCTAAGTTTAACCTCCAAAAGAAAAATCTATTTCCATACTACTCATTGAGATTCAAGCAAAATTTCAACTTATAAATTATCAAAACCATATGGAAAAATGGCACCAACAGGGTCCTGCACACGGAACTGTACAGAGAAGTACCTGATGTTACATATGTGGAGAGGGTTCTCATATGTGGCTGATGAAATCGGCGTGAAACGTCATCGTTGAAGGATCGCAAAGCAAATCGAACACCTTTCATTTCTGCCAAAGTTCGAAGTTTGAGAAGAAGTAGAAGTGTGGGAGATGGAAAAGCATTAACCAGTCAACCTACTAATTATGTGAGGAAAGCAGCAAGCACAATGAACTATATCCCATTTCCAAACACAAATCAATTCTTTCACAAATATATCAGCAAGCAGAATCTATATAAAAAAATGCCCGAAATGAAAATGAAATGAACAATTCGCAAATGCCCATTAAACCAAACAGAAGCAAAAACGAGTTTAGATGCAAAAGCAACAAAGAAAAGTTCAAAATTGACAGACCCAACTCACAAAATGAAACTTTAATCAGTACCTGGGGCCACTGGCGAGCAGGAGATGGAAGGAAGACTGAAGAAGATGAGAGCAGGAGAGAGAGAGAGAGAGAGAGCTCGGGTCTGTTTTGTTAGGGCTTCTTTAACGATAAGGGAGGCACACTGACACTGTGTACGAATTGGGCCTTTTGGGCTTCAAAATTTGAGTAGAGTGATGTTTCAGAATTTGGGCCGATTTAAAAAGCCCATTATTTGATTTTGGGCCTGTTTGAATAGCCCAACATTGAGTTGGGCCTAGATCAAAGTCTTATGCCCATTCATTCTTCACATGCAAGACGCCAAACCAAATGTCACATACAACTTTATTGATAGATTCACACCGATAACGAAGTGAAAGAATAGATGGGAGCCCTTGTTTTTGGTCTGACATTTATACAACTTAAATTTCAGTTATGTTATCAAACACTTTGTTATGGTAGGTAATGATGGGTATCAAACATGACAACATAATTGAAGGGTTTTATACCTCAAGTGATTAATTTTGAGTGCTGCTAAACGAACTCTAAAATTAACTTAGTACATCCTATGATCTAAGTGCACCCTAATATTTTAATTAAAATGTAAAATTAACTAAGTACACCCTATTTAACTATCAAAAATATCCCTGGTGCACCCTAATACACTCTATCAAACAACATCCTAAACTAGATTTCTCTTTTTACATGAATTTGTGCCTTCTTTTCAAATTTTAAGTTTGCATATCTGACCAATAAAACTAAAATCATAAACCAAGAAGCAGCAAAACCCTCTTGAAAGCAGCAAACCCAATTTGTTCGCAAAAAGCCCCATCAAAATTGAGTTTTTAAAAACCCAAGGGGGGTCTACCCCATTTTACTATTGCACGAGCTAGGACAACACCCTTAGGAAAGTTGTGCTCCTGGAATTGGTGCAACACCTGCATAGCACAATTAACCACTTCCAACATCCCACGTCGTCTGCCTGTCCATAAAACAAAATTCCTCTCATTCCAGATTGTACACAACACCATCAAAACTTGTTCTACAAACTTTTTATATGAGCCACCAAATAGTTGCACAAGCCAACATTTAAAATTCAGGTCAGCACTGTTTTGTAAAAGCCTCCACCATGGGCTAGTCTCCCAAAAAGCAGAAACAAAATCACATGAATTGAAGACGTGATGTAAATCTTCTAAAGCAGTCCCACAAAAAAAAAATCTCTTTTTTGGTCATTTTATATTAGGGTAAATTAGTAATTTAATAAATACTATGATAGTAGGGTGTACTCAGTTAATTTTAGGGTTCGTTTAGCGGCACTCTTAATTTTATATCATTATTACCTACAACTGAGATCCTGTGTTCGATTTTCTTCTCTCGCAATATCACTTGTATGCAAATATTAATATGACATATCTAATTCTATCTACCAACACTTAATCTAGCAATATTATTCTTTTCAAGGTTGGATAAAGTCCTAAATTGAATCCCCACCTCCTCTCGTGAATGAAAAAGATTTTTCGATTGTCAGTCTAACAATATAACATTTTAGATTTATTCAAATTTTGTTTATATACCGTCATATCTGTCGACATTCGATGATTTAATACTTTTACAAAAAAACAATATTACCAACCCTAGGGGCGTCCATCACAAATAGGAGATTGAATGGAGTTGGGTTAGGCAAAGGTTAAAAGGCAATGGTGCTAAGTAGTTTTCAACCGCGTAGTGAGTGGGAGGTTGAATATGTTCATCAAGAATCTTTACATAATTTGGAAATCCATCATTTATTTAGGGGACCATCTTTCCCTCTCTCTCTCAAGTCTGAAATAGGGATTGGTCCCCCACACACTGCCCCAATTAGATCTTCCAATATTTTCTTCCCCGCTTTTGATCACCGTTGATGTCCTTGTTACATGGACAATTTCACAATGGTGTCACATCATGATCAAACCCTAATCTTATCGTTCAATTTTCGGATCTTTTAATGGCATAAAATGCAAAACCTTTGCTGTTTTTCAATGGTCAAGGAATTATCACCTGTTTGGCTCATCATAGATTTCCTCGCATTGCATGAAAACAACCCGAACAATGACATAACATGGATAATTAGAACACCAATGTAAGCTTGCTTTATTATTGTAAGTGCGATTTTGTATAATCTTTCTTGCAATATGCATGGGTTTTATACCATTAAAATACAGTACTGACTAGTTCTTAGTTTAATTTTACTTTTCTTTCCAATATTAAAAAAATATGTCAAGTTCGAATCTTTCGAGCTTCGTTAATCAACTATTTGTAAATTGTTGTGATACTTTATCATCTTTTTAACATTAGCTTTTTTTCACTTTATATATATGATAAGGTTAAAGAATTTTTCTTTTTCTTTTGTAGGAGAAAATGATAGATTAAAGCTTATCGCCCACTTTGTTCCCACTTTTTACACCCCCTTTCATAAGAGAATATAGATCGATAATCAAATAAACTTTTTATTATTGGGTGCACGCAAAAGTGATAAGTGATTGAAAAATTCTTCCAAATAATGAAGAGACAAATAATTAAATAAGCTTAATTAATGAGCTCAATCCAGATTGGGGATTTTTTTAATGAATAATTATTGTCTTTCTCATGAAATCACTTGCGAGATTAAAGTTTGAGACAATTGCTTAAAAAAATAATATAGATTTTGTTATTGGATAAGCATAAAGCTTTGGGGATGCGGCTGGATTTTGTCATTAAAAATAAAACACATGGCAGGATTAAAGTTAGAGTAATCCTATTCTTATTACATTTGTATACCATACTCTCATATCATCTTATGTGGCAAATGAAGTGGACAGACACATTAATTAAAAAATGTCAATAAATCATAAAAGAAAATAAATGGTTACATTAATTTTAATATGATTGTCCAACTCATCTGCCACATAAGGTGATATGGAAATATAATAAGAGTATAATTATTCTTAAAGTTATGATTAATAAAACCCACCATGGCAGGATTAAAGTTATGATTAATAAAACCCACCTGGCAGGATTCTGGTGCCCTGCACTGCAGCCTTCTTGTCTCTATTATTTAACAAAATATCAACACCCACCTAGTACTATTGATGATGCCAATGATCCTTCTTGTTAATAATAATAATGTGAGTGCAAAGCTCTGACTTTTGCATGAAGCAACAAAGTCAACATTCTCACTTTGCAACATACCCATTTAATAATATTTTTACTTCTTTAATTGCAATCCGAAACTACCAACCCCTCCTCCATATAGTCCAAATTTTGCTTCAATTTTTAATGGTCAATCACCATAATTTTTTTTTATAAAAAATAATTAAAAAAAACCTCCTATGAGCTCTTATATTCTTGTTAATAAAATCGTGATATGTGTGCATAAGCTTTTATTTTTATGTTTTTAATTAATTATTTTGATATATATGTCAAATTATGATTCGGAGGAAGAAAAAGTATCTCTTTACAGGTAAGGGGGCAATTCTTTTTCATGAAACAACTTAGGCTATTTAGAGTAGGCTTAGAAGAAAGTAGCAAATTACATGTGAGAAATTGGCAAAAAGAAAAAACAAAACTAAGTGGTTAATTATTTATTTTTTTCCTGGTCTGGGCTTAAAAGAGGAAGAGAAACCATTGAATGAGGTGGAACTGAAAGATGCGGGTGTTTCCAAATTCGGTAAAAGCCACTTTATGCAGAAAGCGAGATTCATGACCCATCTATGTGCTCATGAAATTGAAAGCTCCCTCAGTCTCAGAGAACCACGCCTCCTCCATTATTATAACACCACCAAAGAAAAACAAAACAAAACAAAACAAAAAAACCACCAAATGCATGCAAATGCCCAGTTGCGCAAACAAATATCTAAAAGCATGCTTGAGCTTCACATCCCTCCCTCCCCATGGCCATGTGATTGGAGAGTGAGCTGCACGAACCCTAAGAAGGACTTTTGGAAATAGAAGTGCTTTTGGCTTGCAAGTTGGTTCATGCGAGTCCAAAGAAGCTGTCACGAGCAAAGAGCTTTTTGTGGGGGTGGGTTTTGGGTTTTGGGTTGCGCGACTCTTTTGGTATTGAAAGGGTAATATAGTAAAGGAAAGTGATGTGTGTAAGAATAGCACTAGGATCCATAAACATCAACTCCAACATAATAGGAGAGAGAGAGGGAGAGAGAATGAAGCATCGATTACGATACGAATAAAGAGATTGATAGAGAGATTATGTTCACACGAACGGTTGCGATGAAGTTTGCTTCCAGGGTTGGGTCGGTCCAACTGTCCAACAACAAAAGAAATGTTTGCTTCTAGGGTAGGTTTTATGTCCCTGCAAAAATGACCTTGAAATTTTAAGATGGAAACAGGTTGTAGGACCATATGATGTTCTTCGACTGTAAAACTGTTATTAAGTTTAACAGAAATTTCCAACCCTTGTGTATGTAAGGTTATTAACTTCTGACATGATTCGAACCGACACGAAATTAGTGAAATCTGATCCAAGTGCAAGTCAAATTCAAGTGACTTAGTTGGCTTCATTATCGAACCACTCGTTTGTTAATTATTATGATGATCCACAAACCTTGAAAATTAACATGTAATTGTCAAAACATAGAGAATATTGAGAGAAGAAAGTGGAAAGAGTAGAGAGAATGAGAGTTGTTGAATATTTTCTGATTTTCACTTATGTTCATTACTTACAATCAACACATATATATACAAGTTCCTAAGACATTAGTCAAGCCCCCCAAATATTGTAGGTGCCAAACATAGTAGGTGCCAAACATTAATTGACTATTACTAGCCACATTAATTGACTACTAGACAACATAATTAACATAGACAAATTCAACATATGACAACTTCTAACAGTAATGGCTTGTACTCAATCTGAAGTGGGCCAACATGATTTGTTTGAATTTGACTTGCACTTAACTTATGAATCCGTTTCATCCAAGTGTTTTTTTTAATATTCCATATCGCATTATGGTAAATCACATCACTAACAAAAGTGATATCTACCTATACATTATGAGAGAGATAGGAAATATGTGTATGAAGTTATTTCATCAAAGTTTTTTATACGCTAAGTGATAAATCACGTCACTAGTACAAGTGATAACTAC